AGCTTTCCACAATAAGTTGGGTGAATGTTGGCCCATTCCTCCTGACAGAGCTGGTGTAACGGAGTCAGGTTTGTAGGCCTCCTTGCTCGCACACGCTTTTCAGTTCTGCCCACACATTTTCTATAGGATTGAGGTCAGGGCTTTGTGATGGCCACTCCAATACCTTGACTTTGTTGTCCTTAAGCCACAACTTTGGAAGTATGCTTGGGGTCATTGTCCATTTGGAAGACCCATTTGCGACCAAGCTTAAACTTCCTGACTGATGTCTTGAGATGTTGCTTCAATATATCCACATAATTGTCCTTCCTCATGATGCCATCTATTTTGTGAAGTGCACCAGTCCCTCCTGCAGCAAAGCACCCCCACAGCATGATGCTGCCACCCCGTGTTTCACAGTTGGGATGGTGTTCTTCGGCTTGCAAGCGACCCCCTTTTTCCTCCAAACATAACGATGATCATTATGGCCAAACAGTGATATTTTTGTTTTATCAGACCAGAGGACATTTTCCAAAAAGTACGATCTTTGTCCCCATGTGCAGTTGCAAACCGTAGTCTGGCTTTTTTTATGGCAGTTTTGGAGCTGTGGCTTCTTCCTTGCTGAGTGGCCTTTCAGGTTATGTCGATATAGGACTCGTTTTACTGTGGATATAGGTACTTTTGTACCTGTTTCCTCCAGCATCTTCACAAGGTCTTTTGCTGTTGTTCTGGGATTGATTTGCACTTTTCACACCAAAGTACGTTCATCTCTAGGAGACAGAACGCGTCTCCTTCCTAAGCGGTATGATGGCTGCGTGGTCCCATGGTGTTTATACTTGCGTACTATTGTTTGTACAGATTAACGTGGTACCTTTAGGCATTTGGAAATTGCTCCCAAGGATGAACCAGACTTGTGGAGGTCTACAAAAAATGTCTGAGGTCTTGGCTGATTTCTTTTGATTTTCCCATGATGTCAAGCAAAGAGGCACTGAGTTTGAAGGTAGGCCTTGAAATACATCCACAGGTACACCTCCAATTGCCTCAAATTATGTCAATTAGCCTATCAGAAGCTTCTAAAGCCATGAGATCATTTTCTGGAATTTTCCAAGCTGTTTAAAGGCACAGTCAACTTAGTGTATGTAAACTTCTGACCCACAGGAATTGTGATACAGTGAATTATAAGTGAAATAATCTGTCTGTAAACAATTGTTGTAAAAATGACTTGTGTCATGCACAAAGGAGATGTCCTTACCAATTTGCCAAAACTATAGTTTGTTAACAAGAAATTTGTGGAGTAGTTGAAAAACAAGTTTTAATGACTCCAACCTAAGTGTATGTAAACTTCCGACTTCAACTGTATGTAAGTGGTGTAAAAACTATTCTGAGAAATGTTCAGAGTTGTCGCTTAATGGATAATTTGATAAAGATAAGGTTAACCTCTACGGGATCGGTGTACTGTATACGGGACGGTTGAGCTAACGTGCGCTAATGTGATTAGCATGACTGTTGTATGTAACAGCAAACTTTCCAGGACATAGACATGTCTTATATGGACAGAAAGCTTAAATTATTGTTAATCTAACTGCACTGTCCAATTTACAGTAGCTATTACAGTGAAAAAAAAACATGCTATTGTTTGAGGAGAGTGCACAACAACAAAAAACGTATCACGGCAACTGGTTTGATACATTCACCTCTGAAGGTAAATAATGTACTTACATTCAGTAATCTTGCTCGGATTTGTCATCCTAAGGGTCCCAGAGATAAAATGTAGCATAGTTTTGTTTGATAAAATCAATTTTTATATTCAAATGTAGGAACTGGGTTCTACAGTTTGAACCCGCTGTCTCTGGCTCCACACCCACCCCGCCCGGCCATCTAGATGTGTGAAAGTTAGTGTATAAGCTAATGATCCATCATGTATGACATTCCTGGGAGTGTGTAAACTTACATTTTGTATTACCATATTATTGTTGTATGTTCTCTATAGTTATGCACTTGAAATTGTATCAATTGACCAATTCGGCACATTTGGGCAGACTTGATACAAAATAGTCCAGTATTGCGATGTTTCACTGGATCAATCTGAAACTTTGCACACACACTGCTGCCATCTAGTGGCCAAAATCTAAATTGCGCCTAAACTGCAATATTATATTGTGGCCTTTCTCTTGCATTTCAAAGATGATGAAAAAAAAAATGTGTTTGTATTATCTTTCACCAGATCTAATGTGTTATATTCTCCTACATTAATTTCACATTTCCACAAACTTCAAAGTGTTTCCTTTCAAACGGTATCAAGAATATGCATATCCTTGCTTCAGGTCCTGAGCTACAAGTAGTTAGATTTGGGTATGTCATTTTAGGTGAAAATAGAAAAAAAGGGTCAGATCCTTAAGAGGTTAAAGCATTGTATGACTGTCTAAAGGCTCTATACTTATTCTTATGCAACTGAAATACATGTAGATTCTGGCATGTAGAAAATGTTGTAAGAATCTAACACTACTATGCTAATGTCAACAGAATAGAAGCTAATTTGGCGTCACATGAGCCTGGTCATTATTTATATTTGTGCTTGAGCAATTCCTCTGTTGTTTTTGTTGTCATGACTAATGCCAAACACAACCCAACTAGCCATAAGAGATGTAAACACATCTTTCACATTGTCAGTACAAGTACAGCAAAACTAAAACAAGATAACAAGCACATTTGGTGTTCTCTGTATTTATTATATTTATTTATTTATTTTACTCCCCAAGAGAAGCATAAATATTTTATAGAAGAGAACAGCGGTCTCGTTATTTACAAGATATAATAAATGTCTTACAACTCACAATAAGTGTGTTTCTGTGTTCTGAGGGCTGGGGAGTAACATATATAGAGGAGGAAGAGGGAGAGAGAGGGAGAGAGATATGGAGAAATAGAGAGAAGACAACTACAGTACAATCTTTTAACAGTTGAGTGGACACTGTCCACCTCCATTTTTGATGTCATATGAAGTACCTGAACAGAGTGAAAAAGGTTGTTCCTGTGACATGGTGGCAGACTACAGGTATACTGTGGCAAGCTCTTATATAGGAGACCCTCCTATAGAGGGGATGGAAGAGACAAATACACAAACATGCAGTCAACCAGATAGGCAGTAATTTAGATATCACACACACTAAACACTCACACAAACAACTATTACTAGTTCAGGAGTAAAGGAGAGTACTCCAATGCTTTTATCCAGGTATTAGTCTGTTCTGATTCTGGCGAGAGAGACTATCCACTATTCAGCTATCCATTTCAAATTGCATGGAGATGAAATTATTGACATAAGAGGTACTCCTAACAGACATTTACATTCCATCGACTCTTTTCTTAGCTCAAGTGTTCGCCAAGCATTGGACCAGTGTCACAACCTAGCAGCTGTCATTACAGTGGGCAACTCCCCTTTAAACCCCCCTCATTCTTACCCCATCTCCCATTCTCAGACCACTCAACACAAGGCACTCCTGTAGGGGCAGATAGGAGATTTAAAGGGGGGGACTATGACTGACTGACATTGCATCCAGCAGTAACCCTCTCTAACCCACTGATCCAGGAGAATGAATCCTGTACAAAACCCCTCACACCTGGAGGGGAGCCTGCTCCTTATTGGTCGCCACACACCTCAGTCGACGGTTACCCCTTTAAATGCCCCCACCTGCAGTCATTAGTCCTCTTTCAACCATACCAGCAAGGAACCCAAGATATGTGTTTATTGACTAAGTATTGCAAGAATGTGGTGTGAAAATTCTCTTTAGCATTGTTGTAAATGTAACATAGACACTGAGTGTACAAAACATTAAGAAAGCCTGCTCTTTCCATGACAGACTGACCAGGTGAATCCAGGTGAAAGCTATGATCCCTTATTGATGTCACTTGTTAAATCCACTTCAATCAGTGTAGATGAAGGGGAGGAGACAGGTTAAATAATTATTTTTAAGCCTTGAGACATGGATTGAGTATGCATGCTATTAGGAAGGTGCAACTCAATATTAGGAAGGTGTTCTTAATGTTTGTACACTGTGTAGTTTGTATTTATCTCTTAACTAAGTGTTTAATTGATGGCTAATTGTATAGCATGCTCTTGCAGACATACCCATTGCGTTGCCTCCTACCCAGATTTTTAACTATTTTTCAAAGTGGAATTAGCTGTACCTTCAGACCCCAAGTTCCAGTAAATAGATATAGAAATACCACTCTCTCCCAGAAAAGAGCAAGGTTGGGGGTTTGTGCATTATAAGTAGTGCTATGCATTGTGGGAGCTGAGGGAGAGAGGTGGGTGGGCAGAGGTGTGAAGAGAAAGTAACCAAAACCCAACCAAAAAAATAATAATACTGGACTAATCTGGAGGAGCGCCCCCAGTGTCTGATCTGATAAGTGTGCTTGAATAAACAGACTAGCCACAGTAGGAAGCCCTGACACACATAACAAAACAGAGTGATGAAAGTAGATTAGGAGAGCTACCTGCCAAGACGCCTAGTACAGGTAACTGCCAAGACGCCTAGTCACTTTACCCGGTCTTCATGTACATGTCTACCTCATGCCTTGTACCTCTGCACATTGATCTGGTACTCCCTGTATCTAGCTCCATTCTTGTATTATATTTTATTCCTCATTACTATTTTTGGAGGGATGCTACGCCATTCTTCCATGAGAAATTCCATAATTTGGTGTTTTGTTGATGGTGACGGAAAACGCTGTCTCAGGTGCCGCTCCAGAATCTCCCCTAAGTGTTCAATTGGGTTGAGATCTGGTGACAGATAGACACACCATTTAAACCTCCTATGCTTCTTTGAGACCCCTCTTTCAAAGTCACTGAGATCTCTTCTAGACATGGTAGCCAAAATAATGGGCAACCGGGCATTTTTATACATGACCCTAAGCATGACGGGATGTTAATTGCTTGATTAGCTCAGGAACCACACCTGTGTGGAAGCACCTGCTTTTAATATACTTTGTATCCTAGCCTGATGACTCACACTAAATTATTCTGCTGCTCTGTCGTTCGCTACATATTACAGTCAGACTGACATCATTAAAGTAATTTGTGGTGACAAGGGGTATTGTACAAAACAAAGGAATCAGCGATTGGATCGTCTCTAACCAATCAGAGTATGAAAGTCAATTACATTTTCAAACCGCCGCTTTACACACGTGTGTTCTGGCTCTGGCCCAACTCATCGGTTTCTGGACCAATGAGACGGCCCTGAATGTGTTCGCATTTGGAGAAGGGTAGGGAAGGTACTCATATCCAGACTCATTGCGGAGAAGAAACTAACGTCCGTGGGTGCATTTGTATCCCTCATTTACTCAGTTTCCTTTAATTTGGCAGTTACCTGTATGTGTGTGTGTATTTTGGAGTCTTGCCACAGAGAGAGAGAGAGAGAAACAGAACTAACAGAGAGGAGTTGGTGGGCTGTGTTGTATTGGAGTATTCTCTCAGTAGTGAGAGGCTCTTCTTGCTGTTCAAGGGGTGGGGTGTCGGGGTTCAGATGGGGTCGTAGGGTCAAGGGGCGTGGCTTAGAGTGGAAGCTGGAAAGAGATGTCAACATGAGCCTCCTGAGCCAGCGACACAATTTCAGAAAGCTTTACAACCTGCAAAGAGAGGAAACAGAGAGGAGGAGAGAGAGAAAAGTTTAAACACAAGCACAGCAGCAGGGTGAGTTGTCTCATTTAAAAACAGACAAAAACACTAAAAGTGAATAGTTTTAATTGCGGGGGGTTGTAACTGCCACAGGGTGGTCATGCCAAGCTGCCATTGTGCTGGCTAACTGATACTTGTCTCTTTGGGGAGTAGAACACTCTAAAAACAAAGGAGAGCGAGTGGAGAGATGGTGAGAGTCAGTGAGAGCCAATCCAGACTAGTGGTAGAGGGAAAGATAGATGGAGGGGAGAGATAAGAGGAAGGGGGCCTCTGCTCTGACTCAATGTCACTGCTGCTAGCTCTGCCAGAAGTCAAAGCCATAAAACTCAGGCAGTGTCACTTCAGCCAGTCAGCTGCGTTTAAACTGTCACTATACCCTGACGGTGTCAATTGACACACACCGCGCGCACACACACACACACACACACACACACACACACACACACACAACCTACCCTGCTGGTGCCCCTTGTCTCACACACATGTTTACACATTGCCCTCAGATAGACCTCATTGCTCTTGACCCTCACAAACGGTGCCTGACATACCTTTTCACATTCACACACTTCACATAGACCTAGTGTACCACACACACACCACCCTCCATAACCCAGACAGGGTGCTTAGAGGGGTAGAGGTAGAGAAAGGGAGAGAGGTGTGTGTGTGTACCATTCTAGCTGCCTCGTCCAGATCGTCACAGGCCAGGAGCTTCAGTGGGCTAGCGGCGATCAGAGCTTTGGCATCGTCCACTCTGGATCCTGAAACACAGCAGAGCAGCAGTCCCTCTTTAGCCTCGATCTTTTAGAAAGCACTTTGGTTCTCTTTTATATAGCTTTTTATCTGCACTATTAGTGAGTTAAACTCATCAATTGCATAATTTCAGTCCTATTATATTTCCCAAACATGAATGATGGCGTTTGGTATACTGTAAATGTGGTCTAGATTACATTTTATATTAGAGTAGGTGATTATTCTTGTTATGGACATTTGTCGTGCAGCATTGCACACATACAAGTAGAATGACCTTTAATATACATGCAAGGCATTAATGCAGGCGACTGAACAAACCATAGGCTAGATCATTGGAATAATAACCCTGCATCATGATTACAAAAGCATTCCATCAAAATAGCAGACTAAATAAATTAGAAGTTCATTATAAGTAACTAAACCATTTGTGAAGGCAATCATTTTAGTCCAATTACATCTAGTTTATGAGTGATTGAGTTCTGTATAACTTCACACATTCTATACATCCCTGTGTGTTTCAAAACGTGCCCAGAAGGGAGAGCCTGGAATAAGGCTGGGAGCTACAGGGTCCCACAGCGCTGGTTGTGTGCATGCATGCGTGTGTGTGTGTGTGTGTGTGTGTGTTAGGGCTGGGAATTATACGATACAATATTATCGTGATACTTAGGTGCCGATATGATATGTATTGCAATTCTCACGATTCTATATTTATTGCGATTCAATAATATGATTTTATTCCGATTCGATATTCCAAACATATTGCTCACCATATGTCTGCTGCAGAGAGACAAGAGAGCCATGTGAAAACGAGTTTATCAGTCATGGAAATAAAAGGGCTGAAAACAAATTGGTACCTTATTTAAAAAGAAGATAGAGAACAAGCTATGAAGGAAAAATACTGCAGTTCTGGTGCAGGCACAGCCAACTAGCAATAAAAATAATATTGCGATAGTGAAAACGATATTGTAAAAAATAATATCCCGATATGCAACTGTATCTATTTTTTGTCCCCCATCACTAGTGTGTGTGTGGGGAAGTATTAGAAGACCCTAATCCTGACAGACTGCTTGCTCTTTGACCTTTAAAAGGCCACGCTCCACTGTCGTCCCCTCCCTCTCTCCCAGCCCAGTGTGTGTGTGTTTGTGTATGTACACCAAAATGGCAGTGCAGTAGCCTATGACTACATAACAAAGCTAAAATAGTTTTCACTGTAATTACCACAGGGTGGTCTTGCCAAGCTGCTATTGTGCTGGCTACCTGATGCTTGACTGTATAAGGGAGGTCAGTCTCACCTTGTAACCGCACCACAATGGGGATCTTCAGGTCCAAGTCTGTGACAGCCATGATGATGCCCTGAGCGATGATGTCACACCTCATGATGCCACCGAAGATGTTCACAAGGATGGCCTGCACCTGAGGACCACAAACAAAATACGTTAACCATGAAAGCATGACCGAAGATATTGACCATAGAAACAAGACCAAATACAAAGCAATCACAAATCCATACAGGAACAATAACAAAACCAAACCTAAAAACTCCTATAAAATCAACATCACACTGTAAATGTAATGTGTATTATAAAACTATAGTGGTTTAAATGAACACTTATAAATACAACACCATTACTGTGGCTCCAAACCCCCAGTGGATAATAAACCACAGACGCCATTAGGACCACACTAAGCAGGTGTCAACACAGAGACAGTGATAGGAAATTAGCCACAAATCTCCCATGAGAGAGCTTTTAACCATCTATCAAAAACCTACTCGCACCCATCAATGAATGAATCACTAACTGTATGTCACACAGCAGGTGAGAACCCTCCCTGTACTCTCATAGGTGTTCCCTCTAAAGTCCTCCTCCATTAAAAATCCCCCAGATAAATGTCACCCCATTTTTTTTTTCTTTCACCTTTATTTAACCAGGTAAGCCAGTTGACAACAAGTTCTCATTTACAACTGCGACCTGGCCAAGATAAAGCAAAGCAGTGTGATAAAAACAACAACAGAGTTACATATGGGGTAAACAAAACATAAAGTCAAAAATACAGAAAATATATATACAGTGTGGTCGAATGTAGTAATTTATGGAGGTAAGGCAATAAATAAATAGGCCATAGTGCAAAAATAGTTACAATTTCGTAATTAACACTGGAATGATAGATGTGCAAAAGATGATGTGCAAATAGAGATACTGGGGTGCAAATTAGCTAAATAAATAACAATATGGGGATGAGGTAGTTTGGGCTAATTTCAGAATGGCTGTGTACAGGTGCAGTGAACGGTAAGCTGCTCTGACAACTGACGCTTAAAGTTAGTGAGGGAGATAAGAGTCTCCAGCTTCAGAGATTTTAGCAGTTCGTTCCAGTCATTGGCAGCAGAGAACTGGAAGGAATGGCGGCCAAAGGAGGTGTTGGCTTTGGGGATGACCAGTGAGATATACCTGCTGGAGCGCAGACTACGGGTGGGTGTTGCTATGGTGACCAGTGAGCTAAGATAAGACGGGGATTTGCCTAGCAGTGATTTATAGATGACCTGGAGCCAGTGGGTTTGGCGACGAATATGTAGTGAGGGCCAGCCAAAAAGAGCGTACAGGTCACAATGGTGGGTAGTATATGGGGCTTTGGTGAGAAAACGGATGGCACTGTGATAGACTACATCCAATTTGCTGAGAAGAGTGTTGGAGGCTATTTTGTAAATGACATTGCCGAAGTCAAGGATTGGTAGGATAGTCAGTTTTACGAGGGCATGTTTGGCAGCATGAGTGGAGGAGGCTTTGTTGCGAAATAGGAAGACGATTCTAGATCTAACTTTTGATTGGAGATGCTTAACGTGAGTCTGGAAGGAGAGTTTACAGTCTAACCAGACACCTAGGTATTTGTAGTTGTCCACATACTCTAGGTCAGACCCGCCGAGAGTGGTGATTCTAGTCGGGCAGGCGGGTGCAAGCAGCGTTCGGTTGAAGAGCATGCATTTAGTTTTACTAGTGTTTAAGAGCAGTTGGAGGCTACGGAAGGAGTGTTGTATGGCGTTGAAGCTCGTTTGGAGGTTTGTTAACACAGTGTCCAATGAAGGGCCCATAGGTTCCACCAGTAGTAAAGCCCACCCCCAAAGTGAGCTCTCCTGCTGATATCTTCAGGTAACTCCAGCAATGACTGTCAAAAGATGCACCTACTAACTAGGGGATGCATGTACTGAAAAGTTACTTTATACAACCGTAACCTTCCTGAAGATCCAAACATCAGGAATTCCTAATTAATCCCTACCCCCTAACTCCATCAAAACATCAATAGCATCAACTGCAGGCTGCTCATGATCCAGATACCCAGCCGTCCCGTTCCAGTTGGGGTTAGAGGTCAGGGTGAAGGACTGTGGAACACATGACATCTGTGCCTATTGGTGCCACAGTGAGAGAAGTGTGTGCCTACTGCAGCTTAATGCTTCTTCAAAGACAACCAGAGATGATAGGTGTGTCCCCCACTCCCAGTCCTTACCTTCCTGTCAGACGTGATGAGTTTGAAGGCCTCCATCACCTGGTGGGCTGTAGCTCCGCCCCCCACGTCCAGGAAGTTGGCGGGCGTGCCACCATGCAGCTTGATGATGTCCATGGTGGCCATGGCAAGACCAGCCCCGTTCACTACACACACACAGAGAATATAGAGTGAATACACAAAAAACAAAGATTTCTATCACTACTGCTACTACAAAGCTAGGTGTGTGGTGCTGTGAACCAGTGGTGGGTGTGTTGTGGCGCTCACCCAGACAGCCGATGGATCCGTCCAGGCCAATGTAGTTGAGGTCAGCCTTGGCTGCCTGTCGGTCCCTGGCGTCCTCCTGGGTCCAGTCCTGCATGTCAAACACCTTCTTCTGGCGATACGCTGCATTCGAGTCAAAGTTGATCTTGGCGTCCATGCACATCACTGTCAGAGGGACACACAGGAGACAGAGGCTGAGCCCAAGATGGCTGACATCATCGTTGGGCGACAAACCCAATGACCCTGTAACTTCTTTACGACACAGCCAGAGGCAGATGTCCGTTTATACTTTGAGGGGACATTTTCCAATGCCTGGTCCAAGGTGCAACAGAGTATCTATACTGAACAAAAATATAAACACAACATGCAACAATTTCTAAGATTTTACTGAGTTACAGTTCATGTAAGGAAATCAGTCAATTGAAATAAATTCATTAGGGCCTAATCTATGGATTTCACATTACTGGGAATACAGATATGCATCGGTTGGACACAGATACCTTAAAAAAAGGTAGGGCCGTGGATCAGAAAATCAGTCAGTATCTGGTGTGACCACCATTTGCCTCATGCAGCGCGACATCTCCTTCGCATAGAGTTGATCAGGCAGTTGATTGTGGCCGGTGGAATGTTGTCCCACTCCTCTTCAATGGCTGTGAAAAGTTGCTTGATATTGGCGGGAACTGGAACACGCTGTCGTACATGTCAATCCAGAGCATCCCAAACATGCTAAATGGGTGACATGTCTGGTGAGTATGCAGGTCATGGAAGAACTGGGGCATTTTCAGCTTCCAGGAATTGTGTACAGATCCTTGCGACATGGACCCATGCAGAAACATGAGGTGATGGCGGCGGATGAATGGCACAACAATGGGCCTCAGGGGCTCATCACGGTATCTCTGTGCATTCAAATTGCCATTGTTAAAATGCAATTGAGTTTGTTGTCCGTAGCTTATGCCTGCCCATACCATAACCCCACCACCACCTCTGTTCACAACGTTGGCATAAGCAAACCGCTCACCCACACGACTGCATTATGCTGTGTGACAAAACGACACATTTTAGAGTAGCCATTTATTGTCCCCAGCACAAGGTGCACCTGTGTAATGATTAGGGCTGACCCCATTTAGTCGACTTGTCGATTGTTTGGTCGATAGGCTGTTGGTCGACTGAGACTTCTTTAGTCGAGCAGTAGCAAAATACATTTAGAAAAATCATGGTGTGGCTTTATAAATCATCCATATACACTACCAGTCAAAAGTTTATACACACCTACTCATTCAGGGGTTTTTCTTTATTTTTACATTGTAGAATTATAGTGAAGACATCAAAACTATGAAATAACACATATGGAATCCTGTAGTAACCAAAAAAGTGTTCAAACAAATCAAAATATATTTTATATTTGAGATTCTTCAAATAGCCACCCTTTGCCTTTATGACAGCTTTGCACACTCTTGGCATTCTCTCAACCAGCTTCATGAGGTAGTCACCTGGAATGCATTTCAATGAACAGGTGTACCTTCTTAAAAGTTAAGAAATTCCACAAATTAATGTGTTTGAGCCAATCAGTTGTGTTGTGACAAGGTAGGGGTGGTATACAGAAGATAGCCCTATTTGGTAAAAGACCAAGCTCAAATAAGCAAAGAGAAACAACAGTCCATCATTACTTTAAGACATGAAGGTCGGTCAATATGGAACATTTCAAGAACTTTGAAAGTTTCTTCAAGTGCAGTCGCAAAAATCATCAAGCGCTATGATGAAACTGGCTCTCATGAGGACTGCCACAGGAATGTAAGACCCAGAGTTACCTAGGCTGCAGAGGATGAGTTCATTAGAGTTACCAGCCTCAGAAATTGCAGCACAAATAAATGCTTCACAGAGTTCAAGTAACAGATACATCTCAACATCAGCTGTTCAGATGGGACTGTGTGAATCAGGCCTTCATGGTCGAATTGCTGCAAAGAAACCACTACTAAAAGGACACCAATAAGAAGATGAGACCTGCTTGGGCCAAGAAACACGAGCAATGGAGATTAGACCGGTGGGAATTTGTCCTTTGGTCTGGAGTCCAAATTGAGATTTTTGGTTCCAACTGCCGTGTCTTTGTGAGACGGTGTGGGTGAACGGATGATCTCCGCATGTGTAGTTCCCACCGTAAAGCATGGAGGAGGAGGTGTTATGGTGTGGGGGTGCTTTGCTGGTGACACTGTCTGTGATTTATTTAGAATTCAAGGCACACTTAACCTGCATGGCTACCACATCATTCTACAGCGATACGCCATCCCATCTGGTTTGGGCTTAGTGGGACTATCATTTGTTTTTCAACAGGACAATGACCCAACACACCTCCAGGCTGTGTAAGGGCTATTTTACCAAGAAGGAGAGTGATGGAGTGCTGCATCAGATGATCTGGCCTCCACAATCCCCTGACCTCAACACAATTGAGATGGTTTGGGATGAGTCGGACGGCAGAGTGAAGGAAAAGCAGCCAACAAGTGCTCAGCATATGTGGGAACTCCTTCAAGACTGTTGGAAAAGCAATCCAGGTGAAGCTGTTTGAGAGAATGCCAAGAGTGTGCGAAGCTGTCATAAAGGCAAAGGGTGGCTATTTAAAAAATCTCAAATCTCAAATATATTTTAATTTGTTTAACATTTTCTGGTTATTACATGATTCCATATGTATTATGTCATAGTTTCGATGTCTTCACTATTATTCTACAATGTAGAAAATAGTCAAAATAAAGAAAAACCCTTGAATGAGTAGGTGTCCAAACTTTTGACTGGTACTGTAGATCTACAGAAATAAGACAGATCCTGCTTCTGTTGCCTGTTTGAGTGTTTGTTTAATAGCCTACTGATTCCGTGAGCACCAAGCATCACAGCCACAAGTCGTTAGACCAGCCTCTCTGGTATTATTTATAATTGATTTAGTGTTATTTACACGGTTCCAAATTATCAGAAAAATTATATTTATAATAATAACCCTAATTTTCCCTTGATCTCCTTATTGTTATTATTACTATTATTATGATCATCATTATAATAATAAGTAATGTCATTAGTAGGCTTAGTATAGCAGCCTTGTATAACCACCATCGAGCTGTAGGCCTAAGAGCGCATGCTGTTTAGTTTTAATACCATAACTTACTTAGGCCTATATTTCAATTTAAATAGGCTACTGTATCAATCAATAATTTATTTGTTCCTGTCATTTTAGTTTAAAAATAAAATAACAAAATCGACCATTGAATAATTAGCGTAAACAATAAATAGGCCTAAACCGTTCCATTTCGGAAATCGCATTCACAACTGTTTTTAGTCTTTGCTGTAATAAAGGCTTTACAACAGACTCTCTGGTACGCTTATAATTTACTGTTGTTTACATTGTTCTAAACGGTCAGAAAAATTATATTCTAATCTAACAGCACCTGTTTGGCACACATAGTATGGACGCAGCGCTTGCTCCTTAACTTCTTTTTCTTGATCTCCAGTATTTTCCACAACTAGTCACATTCCACATATCTGACTTCCCGTCTACCTCCTGAGCAACCAGTAAACATTCCCCATTTTGAGTTTATTTGTCACGTCCTCTGCATCCATTTTGCTGTCACATATGTTACGGTGTTCAGAGTTTGTTATAACCAATTTATTGATGTGATTATGATATGCTATAGGTCACGCCCTATTGGCGATGCATACATGTGTCACGTAAAGAGAGCAAGGAATGAGGGAATAGGGAATGTTTTTCCTAAACAAATTAGGGTTAGAAATGGCTATAATTATGTTGCAGCTTCAGCAACACGGACAGCGTGATACACACTGCTGATGTTCTGTGGTGGTCGCTGCAGCAGGGAGGAGAGAGAGACAACGGGTGCTAGTCACACAGTCACTCGCTGTCTTTTTTAACACAGAAAGTCTGAGCCAGGCCCGGCACAATCAAATCAATAGCGGTTGGACTCCCTCTAGTAATTTGTGTGTCTTAATTATTTCATTAAACCATGTGCTTAAAGCATCAGACAAGCTCAGTGCATATAGTTGATTTGATTAAAACACATAAGATGTGTCTATATATGGAAAAATACACCTTTTAACGTTTCAACCAATCGATTGGTCAAAATAACTCTTGGTCAACTAAGATTATTTTTTAGTCGGGGACAGCCCTAGTAATGATCATGCTGTTTAATCAGCTTCTTGATATGCCACACCTGTCAGGTGGATGGACTATCTTGGCAAGGAGAAATTGTCACCAACAGGGATGTAAACAAATTTATGCACAAAATTTGAGAGAAATAAGCTTTTTATGCATATGGACAATTTCTGGGATCTTTTATTTCCGCTCATGAAACCAACACTTTACATGTTGCGTTTATATTTTTGTTGAGTATAGTTCTGTGACATAGCTTTACTGTGTAACCTTGGTTGGCTGTACTGTACATGTCAAGGACATATCTGGGTTGGTGACAGATAAGACAGAGACCACTACAGATGTTTGCTGATGTAGTAGGGTCAAAGGGCCAGCATAGGCTATTCCTGCTGTCAATCAACACTCCTGGTATGTATGGGGTTGGTCAAGTCAGCCCATAACCACAAGATCATTCAAAGTACATATCAGCACTGGAACGACTTACATTTCAAAGTTAAAATAGGGCCTCATATGTTACCCTTATCAGCCACCATACTCTACCATGTATGGCTATGATGTTGAAGACGGTTGGTTGTGCAATAACACCACCATTCCTTCAGTACTATGGGGTTTAGCTGCCTAATTGGCCCATCAGTTAAAAGTGCAGTGATTCACACTAGGGTTTTTCACTGTGAGTGCGTTAATGAGAATGATTGACAGTGAGTCATAGATCAATGGGAGAAGCCTTCAACCAAGCATTTAACACTGACTGGCAACACGCTCTCACCCAGCTCTTAACACTGGCGTGAATAACAACATCACTGGGAACGAAAAGCAAGTGTGTGTACCCTGGCCAGAGGCGTCCTCCACCATGGGGTTGATCTCCAGCATGGAGGCGTCGTACTTCATGAAGACGTTGTAGAGCTTGATTATGTTAGCAGCTGCGTCGTCGATCAGAGCAGCAGGGAAGCCCATCTTTGTGGCAATCTGGAGAGAGAGAGAAGATAGAGGGAGCGAAAGAAAGAAATGTATCAATATCAGTTCTTCAATCTACAGTGTTCCTGTAATTTCCTTCTACTTTAGCAACATTTACAAATCTATTACCAGCTTGTAAAACACTCTTGAATTCAATTGAAGGTAAGAGGAGTTGAAGGAGAGGAGGAACGCCTGACAATGAGGGGTAGAGTGAATGTGAGAGAGACGTTGTCAGGTCATGGTAACATTGCAGGCATTCTAAGTGACATGTAGTGTGTGAGTTGGCATGTTGAGTGAGCATGTCTAAGTAAAAACCTGACTTTTAAAGATATTACACTGTGTGAGGGGACATGCCTAACTAATAAGGTTCTGAGGCCCTTGTCTTTAGAGAGAAACTCAAGACAGACCTAATATGAATATAAATGTTGCCGCAAGTCGTTTGTTTAAACGTGTACCAAAATAGCTTTAAATTCAGGTCGAGTATTGTTTATTTCCCAGAATGTGTAGTGTTTCCTGTGATCTAAGAGACAAAGACAAATCAAGAGGTATTTTTACAACCCGATCTCAAATGTACCGAAACAGCTTGTTCCATCTTGATTCCCTCCATTATGTCAATTGGCTCCTTCACGATGGCGTCGGGATTCTCCGCTGCCACATCCTCGATGTTCACGCCCCCCTGAGAGCTGCCAATCAACACAGGGCCCTGTTCAGAGGGAGGGGCCGAGAGATTATGAGTACCAATCATTTTACACATTAATTGAGTGGCAATCATACTCAAAAATAGCAAACGAATGGAACATAGGTCTCACAGCAAATCAAATTGGTTTTGTCACATGCTTCGTAAACAACAGGTGTAGACCAACAGTGAAATGCTTACTTACGGGCCCTTCCCAACAATGCAGAGAGAAAAATATAAAATAATAACACGAGGAATAAATACACAATGAGTAACGATAACTTGGCTATATACATGGGGTACCAGTACCGAGGAACGAGGTAATTGAGGTAAATACAGTTGAGGTCGGAAGTTTACATACACCTTAGCCAAATACATTTAAACTCAGTTTTTCACAATTCCTGACATTTAATCCTAGTAAAAAATCGCTGTTTTAGGTCAGTTAGGATCACCACTTTATTTTAAGAAAGTGAAATGTCCGAATAATAGTAGAGAGAATGATTTATTTCAGCTTTAATTTCTTTCAGCACATTCCCAGTGGGTCAGAAGTTTACATACACTCAATTAGTATTTGGTAGCATTGCCTTTAAATTGTTTAACTTGGGTCAAATGTTTCGGGTAGCCTTCCACAAGCTTCCCGCAATAAGTTGGGTGAATTTTGACCCATTCCTCCTGACAGAGCTGGTGTAACTGAGTCAGGTTTGTAGGCCTCCTTGCTCGCACACGCTTTTTCAGTTCTGCCCACACATTTTCTATAGGATTGAGGTCAGGGCTTTGTGATGGCCACTCCAATACCTTGACTTTGTTGTCCTTAAGCCATTTTGCCACAACTTTGGAAGTATGCTTTGGGTCATTGTCCATTTGGAAGACCCATTTGCGACCAAGCTTTAACTTCCTGACTGATGTCTTGAGATGTTGCTTCAATATATCCACATCATTTTGCTTCCTCATGATGCCATTTATTTAGTGAAGTGCACCAGTCCTGCAGCAAAGCACCCCCACAGCATGATGCTGCCACCCCTGTGCTTCACGGTTGGGATGGTGTTCTTTGGCTTGCAAGCATCCCCCTTTTTCCTCCAAACATAACGATGGTATGAAAAAAAAAAAGATGTATGCAGTCACTTACTATAAATCGCTCTGGATAAGAGCGTCTGCTAAATGACTAAAATGTAAATGTCATTATGGCCAAATAGTTCTATTTTTGTTTCATCAGACCAGAGGACATTTCTCCAAAAAGTACGATCTTTGTCCCCATGTGCAGTTGCAAACCGTAGTCTGGCTTTTTTATGGCGGTTTTGGAGCAGTGGCTTCTTCCTTGCTGAGCGGCCTTTCAGGTTATGTCGATATAGGACTCGTTTTACTGTGGATATAGATACTTTTGTACCCGTTTCCTCCAGCATCTTCACAAGGTCCTTTGCTGTTGTTCTGGTCTTGATTTGTACTTTTCGAACCAAAGTACGTTCATCTCTAGGAGACAGAACGCGTCGCCTTCCTGAGCAGTATGACGGCTGCGTAGTCCCATGGTGTTTATACTTGCGTACTATTGTTTGTACAGATGAACGTGGTACCTTCAGGCCTTTGGAAATTGCTCCCAGGGATGAACCAGACTTGTAGAGGTCTACAATTCTTTTCTGAGGTCTTTTGATTTTCCCATGATGTCAAGCAAAGAGGCACTGATTTTGAAGGTAGGCCTTGAAATACATCCACAGGTACACCTCCAATTGACTCAAATGATGTCAATTAGCCTATCAGAAGCTTCTAAAGCCATGACATCATTTTCTGGAATTTTCCAAGCTGTTTAAAAGGCACAGTCAACTTAGTGTATGTAAACTTCTGTGATACAGTGAATTCATTATAAGTTAAATAATCTGTCTGTAAACAAATGTTGGAAAAACTACTTGTGTCATGCACAAAGTAGATGTCCTAACCAACTTGCCAAAACTATAGTTTGTTAACAAGAAATGTGGCGTGGTTGAAAAACGAGTTTTAATGACTCCAACCTAAGTGTATGTAAACTTCCGACTTCAACTGTATGTACATATATGTAGGGATAAAGTGACTACGCAACTGGATAGATAATAAAAAGCAGCAGCAGCATATGTGATGAGTCAAAAGAGTTGTGCAAAAAGGGTCAATGCAGATATTAAATAGTTATCCTAATAGTAGCTGGGCTATCATAAATAAAATTAACAAACGATTGAATTGATCCATTGGTCTTCAAATTCTCAATGACAACTGATGTCTCATCCTTTTGAGAGAACAGAACTACAACTGCATACAGCTGGACAACGAAGTCCCATGGAGCACAAGCATTTCCAACATGTCCATGGCAATGTCCTTTACCACTACGCCATCTAGTGGTACCATCAAACACAACACTTTCAACATTCGAAATCAAGAATAACACAGCTGCCCAATTTGTCAAATTTGACGGCCTGACCCAGAATGGCGGAGCGTGATTTGTCAGCTGTTGTCACCAGAGAGGCGTGAAAGGGCGGGAATGACCTCACCTGAAAGGATCTCTCCATGGTGATGGCGAAGTAGTACTCCCTGCGGGGGTACCTGCGCTCACAGATGAAAACTTGGTTACAGATACGGCCCTGCTCGCCTGTCTGCTTGGTGTACAGCTTACGACCAATCATCTGAGAGGAGATGTCCCGGGCCTCCTCTGGCCTGTAGGAGAGTGGAAGAGAGACAGAAGAATTTACACATTGCCACATTCAGACAAGAGTAGAAATGTGGGTGCAGTTTGAGAGGAGATGTCTCTGACACTCACGAGTAGACAATCTTCACTCCTCCCTTCAGACCTCCCTCGAAGGTGCCTTTGCCTCGGCCTCCAGCCAACACCTGAGCCTTCACCACCAGATCCTTGGTGCCTAAGACACACACACACAGAGGGAGAGAGAGCGAGACCGTAACAGTTACAGGACATGCCCAACATTCCACTGCCATTTACACACACACACCGATAATAATGCAGACGTACAAACTGCACAAAACATTGTCAGTGCAAACACTATCTAACACAACCTTCCTAGCAAAGGCATGCACTCATGGCCCTAAATGACTAGGCTACTTCTGGACATTGTCAAGTTAATCTGTATCCACAACCAGAAAACGATGTGTTAGCATCAAGTAAGCTACATAGTGAATGGAGACATTGTTCTACATCATGTTTAGCCATACTCATTACCACAGAGGAATTCAGTAGGGCAGAGATGGTGACTGCGCAATTCAATTTAACTTTATTGATCTAGTACAGTAACATATTAACAAAGTTAGACAACAATACACTATTACAGTTAGTTACAGAGAGTAGGCTACCTAAAAATGACATGCCTAAAACCTCTATGTAAACACAGGACTACAGTCTGAATCAAATTAAACGATTATCCCTAGTCCAGAGCAATGCCATTTATCAAAAAGGCTAGTCCAAGAGTAGGGTTGAATGCTGTAACAGAATAAAACAATTAATAAAAGTCCCATGATGGTAGTGACTGCTCATTACTGCTTATCACTTATTAACCATTGTTTATTCACATTACTAAAAATAAAATCTTAATTGTTGTATATATTACATTTGTTTTATTTGATGACTTTATTATTTAATTCCAAGTCATCATCTCATCTCTATAGAGCTGCTGCCTATGCTGTCTGACAAAATCACTATTTTAGTAGTTCTTCAAAGTAAATAAGGCATACTTTTATGACAGCTGAATACCAACTATCAATCACTTAGATCATGTATTTTCAGGTAGAGATACTGTATCTTGCGAAGCAACTATTCTCTATCGCGCATTCATCTCTTTTCTCTCTCTCTGTCTGCCCCACAATAACCTAACATAGCAGGCGTAAAAGAAACCCACAGATCGGACAAGTAGGCACCCAATGGATTACAGTCATTGTAGTTGTTGTTTAAAAAACGAACAATATCAGACATTCTGGTTAATCGCTCAGCACTTTTGCTCCGTCAAACAACAATGAATAGGCCTATTGTATTTAGAACACACTACTCACTCACTACTACCTGGTCTGACATCAAAATCAAATGTTATTTGTCACATGCACTGAAAACAACAGGTGTAGACCTTACCGTGAAATGCTTACTTACAAGCCCTTAACCAAAAACGCAGTTTTAAGAAAATAGAGTTAAGAAAAGATTTACTAAATAAACTAAAGTAAAAAATAAAATAAATAAAAAAGTAACACAGTGGCTTGCGAAAGTATTCACCCCCCTTGGCATTTTTCCTATTTGGTTGCCTTACAACCTGGAATTAAAATTGATTTTTTTGGGGTGTATCATTTGATTTACACAACATACCTACCACTTTGAAGATGCCAAATATTTTTTTGGGTGAAACAAATAAGAAATAAAAGACAAAAAAACAGAAAACTTGAGCGTGCATAACTATTCACCCCCCCAAAGTCAATACTTTGTAGAGCCACATTTTGTAGCAATTACAGCTGCAAGTCTCTTGGGGTATGTCTCTATAAGCTTGGCACATCTAGCCACTGGGATTTTTGCCCATTCTTCAAAGGCAAAACTGCTCCAGCTCCTTCAAGTTGGATGGGTTCCGCTGGTGTACAGCAATCTTTAAGTCATACCACAGATTCTCCATTGGATTGAGGTCTAGGCTTTGACTAGGCCATTCCAAAACATTTAAATGTTTCCCCTTAAACCACTCGAGTGTTGCTTTAGCAGTATGCTTAGGGTCATTGTCCTGCTGGAAGGTGAACATCCGTCCCAGTCTCAAATCTCTGAAAGACTGAAACAGGTTTCCCTCAAGAATTTCCCTGTATTTAGCGCCATCCATCATTCCTTCAATTCTGACAGTTTCCCAGTCCCTGCCAATGAAAAACATGCTTCACTGTGGGGATGGTGTTCTCGGGGTGATGAGACGTGTTGGGTTTGCGCCAGACATAGCGTTTTCCTTGATGGCCAAAAAGTTCAATTTTAGTCTAATCTGACCAGAGTACCTTCTTCCATATGTTTGGGGAGTCTCCCACATGCCTTTTAATGAACACCAAACGTGTTAGCTTATTTTTTTCTTTAAGCAATGGCTTTTTTCTGGCCACTCTTCCGTAAATCCCAGCTCTGTGGAGTGTCCGGCTTAAAGTGGTCCTATGGACAGATACTCCAATCTCTGCTGTGGAGCTTTGCAGCTCCTTCAGGGTTATCTTTGGTCTCTTTGTTGCCTCTCTGATTAATGCCCTCCTTGCCTGGTCCGTGAGTTTTCGTGGGCTGCCCTCTCTTGGCATGTTTGATGTGATGCCATATTCTTTCAATGTTTAAATAATGGATTTAATGGTGCTCTGTGGATGTTCAAAGTTTCTGATATTTTTTTATAACCCAACCTGATCTGTACTTCTCCACAACTTTGTCCCTGACCTGTTTGGGGAGCTCCTTGGTCTTCATGGTGCCGCTTGCTTGGTGGTGCTCCTTGCTTAGTGGTGTTGCAGACTGGGGCCTTTCAGAACAGTTGTATACATACTGAGATCATGTGACAGATCATGTGACACTTAGACTTTATTTAACTAATTATGTGACTTCTGAAGGTAATTGGTTGCACCAGATCTTATTTAGTGGATTCATAGCAAAGGGGGTGAATACATATGCACGCACCACTTTTCCATTATTATTAATTTTTTTTAATGACGTTTTTTTTCTCCATTTCACTTCACCAATTTGGCTATTTTGTGTATGTCCATTACATGAATTCCTAATAAAAATTCATTTCAATTACAGTTTGTAATGCAACAAAATAGGAAAAACGCCAAGGGGGATGAATACTTTTGCAAGGCACTGTATAATGAGGCTATATACAGTGGGTACCAGTACCGAGTCAATGTGCAGGGGTACAGGTTAGTCGAGGTAATTTGTACATGTAGGTTGGGGTAAAGTGACTATGCATAGATAATAAACAGTGAGAAGCAGCAGTGTAAAAACAAATGCAAATAGTCCAGGTGCCCATTTGATTAATTGTTCAGCAGTCTTATGGCTTGGGGGTAGAAGCTGTGAAGGAGCTTTTTGGACCTAGACTTGGCGCTCCGGTACCGCTTGCCATGCGGTAGCACGGCCTTCCTCTGACAACGCCTAGTTTATAGGTTCTGGATGGCAGGAAGCTTGACCCCAGTGATGTACAGGGCTGTACGCACTATCCTCTGTAGTACATTTACATTTACATTTTAGTCATTTAGCAGACGCTCTTATCCAGAGCGACTTACAGGAGCAATTAGGGTTAAGTGCCTTGCTCAAGGGCACATCGACAGATTTTTCACCTAGTCGGCTTGGGGATTAGAACCAGCGACCTTTCGGTTACTGGCACAACGCTCTTACCCACTAAGCCACCTGCCGCCCCACCTTACGGTCGGATGCCGAGCAGTTGCCATACCAGGCGGTGATGCAACCGGTCAGGATGAGGATCTATTTGAGGATCTGGGAACCCATGCCAAATCTTTTCAGTCTCCTGAGGGGGAAAAGGCGTTGTCGTGCCCGCTTCACGACTTTCTTGGTGTGTTCGGACCATGATAGTTTATTGGTGATGAGGACACCAAGGAACTTGAAACTCTCGACCCACTCCACTACAGCCCTGTCGATGTGAATGGGGGCATGCTCGGCCCTCCTTTTCCTGTAGTCCACGATCATCTCCTTTGTCTTGGTCACGTTGAGGGAGAGGTTGTTGTCCTGGCACCACACTGACAGGTCTCTGACCTCCTCCCTATAGGCTGTCTCATCGTTGTCGGTGATCAGGCCTACCACCGTTGTGTCGTCAGCAAACTTAATGATGGTGTTGGAGTCATGCTTGGCCACAGGGAGTACAGGAGGGGACTAAGCACGCACCCCTGAGGGGCCCCCGCGTTGAGGATCAGTGTGGCAGATGTGTTGTTGCCTACCCTTACCACCTGGGGGCGGCCCGTCAGGAAGTCCAGGATCCAGTTGCAGAGGGAGGTGGTTAGTCCCAGGGTCCTTAGCTTAGTGATGAGCTTTGTCGGCACTATGGTGTTGAACGCTGAGCTGTAGTCAATGAACAGCATTCTCACATATGTGTTCCTTTTGTTGAGGTGGGAAAGGGCAGTGTGGAGTGCGATTGAGATATATACAGTACTTTCCGAACGCACTGTAATATAGAACTACTGCCAATTCAAAGTGTTCATCCTCAAGTTAGCCTACTCCAATTAATTTGCCCACATCCTATTAAGGCATGGCTTACCAATCTCCTTGGCAACAGAGTAGGCTTCATCGGGTGAGCTGGCAACCTTGCCCTCGGGCACACAGACGCCAGCCTCTTTGAGCAGGCCGATGCTCATGTACTCATGCAGGGAGAGGTTCCTCTGCTGCTGCTGAAGGTTGGGGGGCTGCTGCTGAGCCCCAAGAAGGCCGGAGGAACCACCCAGCACCTGGGGAGAGGGGAGACGGAGGGGGATAGAGGAGAGAAAAGGTGATGGGGGGGGGGGGGGGGGGGGGGGTGTACACGATGCAGTGACATGACAGTGCCTACTCATATGTCAGGGTAGAACATAGCACTATGTGAAAGGACACAGAATAAGAATAGCCACACCCATACAAAACACTAAGAGGCCCATACACACAACAAAAAATGTGAAGTAGATGTGTGCAATGCTGGAAGTTTGCAGATATGAAAGAGGAACACATCAAACATGTCATTTGGGCGTCAAATGAATAATTCTGTCAACATCAAACCCGTTTTTTCAAATCTAAAAAGGCCAACTTGGTTCCAAAAATGTCCCTTACAAATCTAGCTTTGTCCGTGCAAGTGAGCACGAACAGATGTGACAGCCTCAATGGCGCATATCCTCCATTCACCCCCCAGGGGCACCATGCACCCCAAAAATCAGAGGAGGCAGAAAGTATGTGAGGATGGCTGGGGGGCTGGAGAATTTAGAATTTTTTTCAAACACGTGAAACAGCTTTTACCTGCAATCTAGAGCCATAATAATTATACTTAATTCTATGTAAAAAAATATATATATATATTTCAGCATATCTAAGCATACCTCTTGAGCTGTCTGTATCCTCCCGACTGTTGGTTCTTTTTTTAAAGAAACTAAATATGCTTCTCTGCATCTCTGCTAAAATCTGGGTAAAAGATCGAAAGTAATGTGAGTCTTATTCAGTACATTTAGTTATTGCCTTTCTAAAGTCTACCAACCTTGCCAGCAGGTATGCCAGTTAAGATGGTCAAGCTAGCCACTAACTTCATTGATAGCTTTAAATGGCTTCTTGGTAGCTAGTTATGAGGTTGGGAACCTATCTGGGCTAGCTAAAGCCAACTTCATAAAATTGCTTGGTGGATAGTAGTATTATAGCGAAGAAGAATTTTATTTTTATTTTTTTATTATACAGGACAAATCTGATGGGGCACGTACCCCTGTGCCCCCTATGGGCATGACGTTCCTGGATCTCCTCCCCGTCGTCCCCGTCCTGACGTCTCTAGTGTATGACAGCTGTGTTGGAGGTCACTGTCTAAACAACTACTACTGTATGTGAGCGAAAAGCTCTTGTTAGCAAACACAAATCCCTGAACCCCCATAAGCTTGTTTTAATACATTGTTGTTTATTGATACATTCGTCTTGCCATCGCTAAAAAAGCAACGACGTTAGCTAGCGAGCTAAACATGAGCAATGTGGCTAGCTAGCCAACATAGCCAGTTCCCTAGCTACTACCTCAAAGGAGATGGGCGAATGTCAAATTTCACCCAGTCACTTCTCGGGGACTTCTTTGGACGTCGAAGATGGTGCAGCAGAAAAAGTATCACATGTACAGGCAGTCGGATTTCATAACGTTTTTCTCAATGTAGACTTACTTTGGATGCAGTGTTAAATGTCGATCTTGCCCCAGAATTTCTCAGGCTAGCCGACAGTCGGCCGCAAATCAGGGACGCCGCCATGTTCCCTTCTCAAGCTAACGAATTGGCCGCATGCGTAGTGACATACTAAACTGAGCGCCCCTTGCACAGGCTTGGCGCACATTCCATGGTCTTCACAATTTGAAGACAAGGCTATTAATACATACGGTCAACTGGACATTATATAATGCAAATGGTATTCTCTAAGATATGAGCACCACAAACGTATTTACTCAAAAGTGGTATTTATTTACAAGTTTGGAAAAACCTACAGTATATACAGACCTATTTACACATGGAGCAAACACTCAGTCAAACAAAAAAATACATTGATATGCCGATTTTCAATATAAAGAATATAAGGTGTGCTTGATGAAGCTTGGCCGACAAGTGTGAACTCGGGCGAGCTGAACCAAGTGCACCTACAAATTCAAAATCCACTCCTGGAGAGATGTTTTAACCAATAGCAGAGGATAAGGAGCACTTGGGTTCAAATCTGCAACACATTCTTTCAAAACAAAACAAAAAACTGTTGAAATTAAATACAGTTATATGTACTTTTCAACAGTATTCCCCATTGTCAGTCTCTAAAAAACATAAAAGAAACAAATGAAGGGTAGCCAGATTGACAACGAAAGGAATACGTCAGTGTTATCACTATCAGAGTTACGTAGTGCCAGACATTTCCCTGAACTGAATCAGCGTAACCATACAGTGGACTTTACAGAGAGACTGTACTACACTACATGACAAAAAGTATGTTGACACCTGCTCGTCAAACATCTCATTCCAAATTCATGGGCATTAATATGGAGTTGGTCCCCCCTTTGCTCCACTCTTCTGGGAAGGCTTTCCACTAGATGTTGGAACATTGCTGCAGGGACTTGCTTCCATTCAGCCACAAGAGCATTAGTGAGGTCGGGCACTGATGTTGGGCGATTAGGCCTGGCTCGCAGTAGGCGTGCCAATTCATCCCAAAGGTGTTCGATGGGGTTGAGGTCAGGGCTCTGTGCAGACCAGTAAAATTCTTCCACACCGATCTCGACAAACCATTTCTTTATTGACCTCGCTTTGTGCACGGGGGCATTGTTATGCTGAAACAGGAAAGGGCCTTCCACAAACTGTTGCCAAAAAGTTGGAAGCACAGAATCGTCTAGAATTTCATTGTATGCTGTAGCGTTAATATTTATCTTCACTGGAACTAAGGGGCCTAGCCTGAACCATGAAAAACAGCCTCAGACCATTATTCCTCCACCAAACTTTACAGTTGACACTATGCATTCTGGCAGGTAGCATTCTCCTGGCATCCGCCAAACCCAGATTTGTCCGTCGGACTGCCAGATGGTGAAGCGTGATTCATCACTCCAGAGAACGCGTTTCCACTGCTCCAGAGTCCAATGGCGGCAAGCTTTACACCACTCCAGCCAATGCTTGGCATTGCGCATGGTGATCTTAAGCTTGTGTTCGGCTGCTCGGCCATGGAAACCCATTTCATGAAGCTCCCGACGAACAGTTCTTGTGCTGACGTTGCTTACAGAGGCAGTTTGGAACTTGGTAGTAAGTGAACGCAACCGAGGTCAGACGATTATTATGCGCTACGCGCTTCAGCACTCGGAGGCCCCGTTCTGTGAGCTTGTGTGGCCTACCACTTCGTGGCTGAGCCGTTGTTGCTCCTAGACGTTTCCATTTCACAATTACAGTTGACCAGGGCAGCTCTAGCAGGGCAGAAAGTTGATGAATTGACTTGTTGGAAAGGTGGCATCCTATGATGTTGCCACATTGAATGTCACTGAGCTCTTCAGTAAGGCCATTCTACTGACAAAGTTTGTCCATGGAGATTGCATGGCTGTGTGCTCGATTTTATATACTTGTCAGCAACGGGTGTGGCTGAAATAGCTAAATCCACTCATTTGAAGGGGTGTCCACATACTTTTGTATAAATAGTGTATTAGATTGGGGATGACAGATAGTTTAGTACAAATGTTTCATCAACAAGCTGGGAAAAGAGAGGGTCAGAGTGATCAAACTCTGGCTTATCGTAAAGGTTATGGGTGTGATGGGTAGCTGGCTCTACGAGGTACTGGGAGTGTCCAATTCCCAGCACACAGTCAGCTGAGGATTCAGATATACACACACAGATGGGCGGGCTGACGGACGGACGGACAGACACACACACACACACACTCAGTCAGTCCGAGTCGCTGCTGCTGCTGGATGAGTCTGTAGACATGGCTTCCACGTCGTCCTCGTTCTCCTTGTTGTGGCCGGGGGGCTCCAGCCCAAAGTCGTTGCCATGGTGAGGGGGGAGCATACCCACTGAGACGTCGGACGATTGCCAGGGGTACTGGGGGGTTAGCACATCTGAAGAGGGGAGGGAGGAAAGAGTATTTGAGCTGTGTGATAGGGTTACTATTATACAGTATAGTCCACAGAATCATATCAAACACACAGATCATAGGAGAATAAAAAAACGGTTGACTCCATTTGTAGAAGGAAGGAACCACACATACAACGAAAGCATACCTGGCAATCTCCCAGCAGCCAGTGCATCTCCAGGGAGGTGTCCGTTCACGCCATTGGTTGGCAGATTGCTCATGTGACCCAACATTCCACTGCGCATCTCCAGGTCAGTTGGGTAAGGTCTACGTGGATCACCTGTTATAAGGAATATGTCATCAAGTCAACTGAAGAGTAATTACAGTAGTATTGTGAATGCTAGTCACTGCGGTGATAGGGAATATTTTAACCTCAGCCACTATCACTACCAAGAGGAAATTCCAGTCTGAAGAGGAGGAACATGCAAGGAAAGGAGGATCTGGGGGAGGTAGGGATAGAAAAATTGGGGGAAAGAGGGCATCTAAGACAGCATACCAGAAGCACAAATGGGCAGAAAGAGGACAAACCTGGTACCCAGTTGAGAGGGGCACATACTGCATTGCTGGCACTGATCCTGTGGGCATATTTGATGATCTCTTCTGAGGAGATGCTCCCTGAAAGACAACAGTTCTTTTAGTTTGACATCTATAATCTCTGGTGGTATTTATGTATCAGAAAGCTCTCCAGCTCCTCAGACGAATGCTGTGAAAATTAGGCTCACCTTTTCTGGCCTTATCAATAGATTTTAGCTTCTCCTTTGCTTGGTATACAGCAGTCGCCTAGAAGCAAAAAAAGGTTAGGTTGAATCAAAGTCATAAACAATGTGCTGTTGTGTTCCAATTTAGTAAAGGAGACACATTGTATAGTCTATTTAGGATTTCTTATCAGTCTCCAGCTCTGCTGTTCTCACCAGTATATGTTCAGCCTCCTTCAGCTGTTTCTGGAGCTGCTGGATGTCGCAGTCTCTCTTCTCCACCTCCTTCTCCAGGACCTGCATCTCCTGGTGTACCTTGCCCTGCTCCTGGGCCACCCTCATCAGCTCCTGGAACTCTCTGTCTCTCTGCACCAGCAGCTCCAGGATCTGCCCACAGCAAAATAACAATAATAATAATAATAATAATAATAATAAGCCATTTAGCAGACGCTTTTATCCAAAGCGACTTACAGTCATGTGTGCATACATTTTTACGTATGGGTGGTCCCGGGGATCGAACCCACTACCCTGGCGTTACAAGCGCCATGCTCTACCAATTGAGCTACAGAGGACCAAACAAGCATTCAGACTTCTGACATCGACTGCACATTGTAACATATAGACTACTATTGAGTCAGAGTTGTGTTGAGAAAAGCAGTCTCAAAAACCTATTTCACAAAATACAAACTAAATGTGAGTTATAGTGCATGAGGTATAGTGCACACACATTTTATAATTGTGAATAGCTAGGATTGCAGATATTGTTGCTACATTTTGAAAATAGTGTTAGGTTGAATCAGATGCATGTTACCTGGGTGTCCTCGCCTCCTTGGGGGAGTTTTTGGCTCCTTGACAGTGCAAGCATCTCTATCAATTCCCTGAAATATTAGTAATATTGGGTTTAGTTGCCATGCATGATAATGGAGAGAAAACAGATGAACTTGAAAGATGATGCTTGACAGAGTAAGTGACCAACCAATAAATGACTGTCATTCATTGTGTTTGTAAAGATAAGCTAATAGCCCTCCTGACCATCCATTCAAAAAGTCCAACCTATAGTGGTGGGCCAGTCTGACTCCAGTAACTATACCCATATATTGTATATATAAATCTAACGTTATAGCCTATACAAATTGATCAGAATGGCGCCGGAGGAGATGGCTGCCGTTTTACAGGCTCCTAACCAATTGTGCTTTTGTGTGTGTTTTTTTGCGTTATTTGTGACTTATTTTGTACATAATGTTTCTGCCACCGTCTCTTATGCAACTAACCTGTGCCCCCGCACATCGACTCTGTATGTGTTATTTATTTTAACTTATCTATTTTTTTTAACTTAACACTTATTTTTCTTAGAACTGCATTGTTGGTTAAGGGCTTGTAAGTATTTCGCTACACCCGCTATAACATCTGCTAAACACGTGTATGTGACAAATAAAATAAAATGTGATTTGATTTGTAAGCATTTCACTGTAAGGTGACAAATACAATTTGATTTTAACAGTGGGTTCCCAACCTTTTTCGGTTACTGTCCACCAACTGAATTTTGCTCTGCCCGGAGTACACCTGATGTACCCCCTCATGTGCATTTGATCAGTAACCCTATGATCTCATGAGTCTTCTCAAGTATCCCCTGTGGATAGGCCAAGTACCCCACTGGCCTACAGCAGTACACTCAGAACACGAAACGTAGGAATTGTTGAATAAGCTACAAACTACATCATTTGAATGGCTGTTCAGGAAACAATTATTACGGGAAAAAATAATATATTCGTACCTGGATAACACTTCTAAATCGTCCAGTACCGATAATAACCGCTCTTTCGTAGATTTGTCAGTCACCGCCATTGTTGTTTCCACCCCACTGCGCAGAACAGGAAATAGAGCTGATATTTTGTTGTGTGGAAAGAAAGCTTCATAGCGACGTCTGTTGGAAAGGAGTGAAAAGGCCTTCTGTTGGCGAAGTCACTGAGGCCAAAATAGAAAGAGGCGGAGCCACATCTATACTGAAGAACATAGTCTTCGCTGGAAGCTAATTAGGTGTTGTGCGCTCAGCTGTTGAGTTGAGGTGAATACTTGGTTGAGTCGGGCAGCACGAGCTGTGTGTGTTTATCTGCGACGTCGTAGGAGCTAGCTACATCAGCAAGATTCCAAACAACTTCGACGTGCTAAACACACTCGCTCTGTTCTTTTGAAATCAACCAAAGTGCAAATTTGACGATGGTGAAGGTATCTTTTAATTCGGCCCTTGGGCAGAAGGACATGAAAAAGGACAGCGAAACCCTCATTCCCGAGGACAAGGTGAGTAAATACGACTCTGCGAATAGCTATCAAGGATAACAGTTGAACAGACACGGATGGCTAAATCTTCGATCACCTAGTTAGCTCCTTTAGCCATATCAGAGATTAGTCAGTACATTATATAGCTAGCTAATTGCCTAAATTAGATACATTTGAAAGTGAAAGTAATATTTGACAAAATGTGTCTAATTTAACGTTAGTTCTGAGACTTTTGCTTAATCAGCTCTCAACAATTCACTGACCACCATTATATAACGTTAAATTATAGCCTACAGGGGCTGCCAGTTATTGCTTTCTTTTCCCTTAATTGCAAATGGCAGGCTGACTGTCAATTCATGTTTTGAGTTTTGGAGATCAGCTGGGACTTGTTGGTCACTTGAAGCCTGCCCTTGTTTCAGTGTTCAGTCCCTGCTGCTTGCATTGATACACCCTCAACTGTTCTTTCTCATTCCAAGAACGGCAGTAGCGTTATGATAAGGGTTATCAACACGGAAATGTCATCATTCTGTTTGTCAGTGTTGGTTGGACCAAGAAGTGTACAGACACGTTAATTTCTAAGAACGGTATGATCCCAGGTCTGTAGAAATTATCTAAAATAAGAAACTTTGTCCACAGGGGGGACATTTCTCTTGGACATTGTAACTACACCATCTCAAAAATACATGAATAAATGGTATATGAAATATGCATGACCGAGGCCTACATGACACAATGCACATGCATCACATGCTCACAACTGATGGGAAGAGTTGGAGCTGTGAGACGGCACTCACTTATCATCAAATCCATGCCAATTGGGCAGGTTGCCCTTGAGAAGATGATGTGAAGTGGCAGGCAAGTCTGCATTGCAAATAACTCCATCTGTCTCCCCTCACTAACTCATACTATTCAATACATTTTTAAGTGCACAGTTCTGTCTATCCTTCCACCCATTCAGATTCTCCCATAGCCTAGATTGCTTCCCCTTGGGGAAATGTGTCTTGGGTCTCCCAACAAGCCCATCATTGTATTACATTTATCACAACACAAAACAATACAGGGTTTACATACAGTCAATATGGATAATGGAACCAATGTAACCTCCATACATTGGTCAAATCAAATCAAGCGTTAATAATACAGCACATTTCAGACATGGAATGCAACGCAATGTGCTTTACAGGAAGAAGAAAAAACTGCACGACTAAAAAGCACCCTAGGGGAAAGCAAAGCTAAAAATATGTTTTAAGATCTCTTTTAAATATGTCCACAGTTTCAGCCTCTTCAGGTTCTCTGGCAGGCTATTCCAGAGGCTGGGGGCATAATAACTAAAGGCTGCCTCCATGCCTCTTGGTCCTAGGCTTTGGGGTAGTTAAAAGGCCAGTGCCAGAGGACCTGAGGGGCCTACTGGGTAGATAACTTTAAAGCATGTCTGACATGTATTGGGATGCACAATTGTGAATTGATTTAAAAACCAATAGAAGAATCTTATAATTAATTCTAAAACTCACAGGCAGCCAGTGCAGAGACCTCAAAACTGGTGTAATGTGTGCTCTCCATTTTGGTCAGTACCCGTGTTGCAGCATTCTGTATGTTTTGCAGTTGACCAATAGCTTTCTTGGGTAGACCAGACAGGAGAGCAATACAGTAGTCAAGCCTGCTTGTAATAAAAGCTTGGATGAGTGTGTCTATCAGCCTGAAACCGAAACGGCTGCACCTTGGCAATGTTCCTCAGGTGATTAAAAAGCTATTTTGGTCACATTCCTGATGTGTGATTCAAAATGTAATTCATAATCTAAAATAACACCTAGGTTTTTTACCTGGTGTTTATTGCCTGTGAATTAAAATGTATGGCTAGATTCTCTCTGTGCTTTGGCTCCAACAATAAGTATCTCGGTCTTGTCTTGATTTAGCTAGAGGAAGTATTTAAATCACTAATAGTCTAATAATTGATCCATGGAGCCAAAATCCTCTGGTGACACATGTAAAGTTGTGTATCATCTGCGTAGCAGTGAAAATCTATGCTGTGCTTTCTGATAACGCTGCCAAGGGGTAACATATAATTTATAAACTGAACAGTTCCGGACCCAAAACCGAACCTTGTGGAACGCCACATGATATGTATTTTCTCTGAGTTATGTTCACCAAGGGTGACAAACTCTCGACCAGTTAAATAGGTCCTAAACCTATTTCGAACTGGACCGTAGAGGCCAACCCTCCTCTCCAGTCTGTCCAGAAGGACATCATGGCCAACAGTGTCGAATGTTGCACTAAATCCAAGAGTACAAGGACAGAGAGCTGTTTGGCATCTGTGTTGGCTCTAAGATCATTTACCGCTTTAACTAAGGCTGTATCCGTGCTGTGGTGGGCATGAAAACCAGATTGGAATTTTTCAAAAATGGAGTTGGTACTTAAACAATTATTTAGCTGTTTGAACACCAATTTCTCCAGAATTTTACTTAAGAATGTAAGGTTGGCGATTGGCTGAAAATTGCTAAGAGCTGAAGAATCTAGATTACTTTTCTTCAGAAGGGGTTTCACCATAGCAGTTTTTAGTGGAGTGGGGAAAGTGCCTGTGAACAGGGAGTGATTAACGATAGTTTGCACTTTTTCAGATATGCAACTAAAAACTGTTTTGAAGAACGTGGTGGGGATAGGATCGAGAAGGCAGGTAGATGTCTGTGTCAACCAGGGAAAATCAATCCATAGTGCCTTTGCGTGGTAGGCTAGGGAACATATCAAATATTCCCATCAGGTCTTGCTTGACTGATACCCAGCCTAATGTTTATTTTATCTCTGAAATATGCGGGGGTAGGATTTATCAGGCCATCAATGGTCAAGATGCGCTCTCAATAATTATTCTGATTTTAATAGTGATCAAGTTAGAAAAATGAGCCCGTCTGGGCAATTTCTAATTGCCTTGTTATATATGCCCAAGCTGCTCTCTTAGAATATCATAATGGACCTGCAACTTTGACTTTCTCCATTTCCGCTCTGCCTTTCTGTAACTTTTCTTTTAGTTGATTTGTTTCCTCACTCATCCAAGGGGCTCTCTGTTTGGATGTGGCCTTTTTCAAATTTACAGGAGCTATGGCATCAATGGTTGCCCTTAATTTGTTATTAAAGTTATCAACTAAATCATCACAAGAGGAAGGCAGAATAGGTGATGGAGTATTGTTCATACACTCAATAAAATCTGTATCAACCTCATCAGCTACTATTTGACCCATCACCCTAAATCACCATAACTTTCTCATATTAGTGGGAGATTCCACCAACATCAGTGAGTTTCTGTGGTTTTCCTCTAGATTCTGAAATGTGTAATTGGACCTCTATCTTTTCTCATCTTGACCTCAAACTGTACAGAGATAGGCTTTTGGTTTTCACCTTTCCACACATTCTTAGCCCCTGGCCATATAGTCCTTCTGTCTCAATCTGTATAATCACACTTAAGTTCTTCCTCCCTGGTTTGAAGTGGTCTTTAACTAATGCTGCATTTTTCACCTGCAGGGGGTTTTCTGTAGCTTTGCCTAGTGGTTCCACATGCGTTTCTATGAACATCTTAAGACTTGATTCACTTGAGTAACCAAGATGAAGAAGACCCATCATTACAGTATGCTTGCTCCTTTGAACTTTTTGGGGTAATTATTTTGTTGACCATTATCTTGTTTTCTTTGGGAAGTCAGCGTTTTCATGCTGGCCAAACATTTATATCAATGAGTTTAAGTTTCGAGGTACAGCAAGAGGACCAAAGTAGCCTACTCCTGGGCCCAATAGGCAACATCCATTCAGGATTGTTCCTCAAGTGGCATTGAGGTTAACTAGGCATAGGCTTCATTCAAATAGCCAACATTTCATGGGCTTCATAGATGGGTTGGCTGACAATGGCACGAAAAGGATGCGCACGCATCGGTGGCCGGAAGGCTTGTGTGTGTTATGATTCTGAACGGTCAGATAGCTAGCAACAATGACAAGAAGCTGCCATGTGGGGAATCATAGGTGGCCTGTTTCTGGTCATTGTATCTTGTTATTGATACCATGTCTTGTTTTGACTGATTTCATGTCTATGCTAATATGGCAATTTGATAGCTAACCAACAACTGTAATGTATTTCAGAGACAACAAGTGCTCATTGTGCAAATGTATTTGTTTTCAATAAACATTTGGAGACAAAATAGTTTACATGTTAACAGTCTAAGCCAGGGCTCTGTTCCTGGAGAGCTACCGTCCTGTAGGTTTTCACTCCAACCCTAATCTAGCACACCTGATTCTAATAATTAGCTGGTTGATAAGCTGAACCAGGTTAGTTATAACTGGGGTTGGAGCGAAAACCTACAAGAGGGTAGCTCTCTAGGAACAGGGTTGGAGACCCCTGGTCTAATCCAACCCTGTCTGTTTTGCCCAATAGTTGCGGTTTTGTTTCTAAATAACCAACCCGTCTATAAAATGGAGGGAGGTGTTTTCACAACACTTCCCAGTAGGCAGGATGAAGCTTCCCTGGCTGGGAAAGCCGTCTCAGGGAATGTGAAGGTCAGTGGCTGTAGCTCATCAGATGGCGTGAGAGATGGACAGTGGGAGGGACGGCTCTGTTCACACTCTGCCTGATTAACGGACGCAGAGTGATTTGGCAGCGGGCAGGAGACAGGGCAGCTGCACATGCCTTGTGTGTATCAGGGGTTCTGCCAAGAGCAAGCCAGAGTGCTGCTCTGCAACCACTTAACAGTTCACTAATATTATGTAAATATAGCCCAACTTCATAATTATACAGACACTCACACTAACAACACAGAGGCACCCTAGAATGTGGTAATATTATAGGGCCCTATAAAAATCCGCGTTGCGGATGGAATCACATTTACATTTACGTCATTTAGCAGACGCTCTTATCCAGAGCGACTTACAAATAGATCACGGAATCCAGACATTAAAACGGAATTCAACAATATACATTTTTTTTATTAAACTTAGTAGGACATCAACTACATCTATTGAACTTAGTAGAAATGTCATTAATTTGCCCAAGATTATAATATGACATGAACAAAATGCATTAATTATTTGTATTTTCCTTCAGCTTTCTGAAGAGGCAACGGCACAGGAATGCCCCTGTCTGTGTTCGCATTTGTCTACCACTTTGTGTAGCTGTTAGTGATGATGCTAATGTAATGACAACCGCCTTCTGTTAGATGGAAAGACTTTCCCAAAAACCTTTTAAATTAAATATTAACTACAAAGTAGCCTATGCCTACCTTGCAGAATGATCTCATGATTATTTGCATCAATCCAGTGGCCATTTTGTTTTGCAAACTCTGCAATCACATGAGCGCTACAGAAACACCGCTAACCAAGTAAAGGTCTGTGGCTGGTGCCCAGTTGAATTAAAGGCTAACTACACCCAAAATTCAAAATATTTTAGATTTTTCCCAGACCTCAAAAGTGGTCTCCTGATGTGGTTAAGAATTCTTGTGGACTTTAAAAATCTACAAAATTCGATATTCTGTTAAATATGATTTGTAGAGCAATAACCTTAAACGGAAACCTGAACAAAAAATGGAGAAAACAGAATTTGTGAAAAAATAAAACAGATTTTATAGGGCCCTATACTCCTATGCTAGCCACTTTCTAAACAAACAGGCTGCCCAGATGGCAGAAATTAATACAAAGTAGGATCAAATAATATTCAGCAGTTCATAGACTAGGCCTTGTTCTGTCTTATGCAAGGGATTCTTTCAGAGTAAAGGCCTATAGGACAGTAGAGCTGGCTTGGCTCTGAACTTCATCAGGCTCAGACAGCAAAGTGGTTAGCAAGGCTATCTTAAATAAGACCTGCTGGCAATACGTTCACTGAGCATTACTGAGGAGATATTCTGGGCATGTTGGGGTGGAGAAGGAAGGAGACGAGGATTTAGTTGCCTGTGCATGTTTATTTACATGTGCTTACTTGTGTGTGTACTGTGTTGCCTAGTTGTTGTGGGTGTGTCAGTTTATTGTATCGTGATTTTGGTTAATTCGAGTGGAAGCACGATGGTATGACCATGGTGAAGGCTTATCGGTCAGAGGCTTAAATTGGGTCATTGCGCCCCACAATCTCCCTCTCTCACGTGGACATATAGAGGCATAGCTCCCCAGCAGAACCAAGTGTGATGTGATTCTGAATTGTCTGGTCAAGAGCCCAGTCCAAAAACAACCATTTGATCTATCAGCAGACAGTTGGGGCCTTGTAGAAGAGAGTCAGATGGGGGAGGGGTGCAAATTGGAGTAGATGCGAGGGAGAGCAGAGGGGTAGTCTGGTACACAGTACTCACCCTGGCACTGCATGCTTATGCTGCTACCTCAGCCTGTGTTCTATGAGCCTGTGTGTTCTGAGAGGCTGTGTGTTCTACGCGGCTGTGTTCTGTGAGGCATGTGGAGCCCTGGGGGATTACACCCTATTTGCTCTGATATAGACTCAGCCAGGGAGCTTTAGCCTAGTGCCTCCCACAAGGCGGTGACCACTAAAACTGGGAGAGATTAACCAACCAGCCGCAAGAGAAAAGGCAAGTAGAGGACAACCTCACCCACTCATTACATTCACTCCATTCAAGGTGCGCTACGCAGAAATCGCATAAACCATTTCCTGGTTGCTAAAATTCTAATAGTTCTCCTAATTTCAGTTTGTGACAACAAGCAAGTATTGTGTAGAGAATCATTGTACCATCTAAACCGCTGCGAAGTATCTTTTCCATAACCAAAAATATTGTTTTCAGCTGTTTTGAAGCTGGTGTACAAAACCGAAAGTAAGGGAAGCAAAAACAAAACTTAAGAACAGGAAGCGTAGAAATAGCACACATAGAGATCCACCACTTCTAAGACTTGCTTTCAATGAGTGACAGATCTATAACTATTTCTATGTGAATTTGGTCGGGTTGGCCGAAAAGTTACATATTGCAGCTTTCACTTCACTCAATGACTGACTGACAGTCTGTCACTCCATTTACTCCCCCCCCCCCCCCCCCCCCCCCGCCGCCACGCCACGCTGCTTATCTCTTTCAGAGTGAAGGATGAGGTTTCACAGACAATCCTTGAGTTACTGAAACTGTAGCTCTTCTTTTGACACAGTGATAGACTACCTGTCTCCAAGCTACTGAAACTCTACCTCTTTTCAGGGTATTGTTACATTCCTGAACATTAAAATGAAGACATTCTGTCAATGCGAAAGTAGAAAGGGAAGTATTTTCTCTCCTTGCTGGGAAAGAGGCATACTATAACAAAAAGGAATAGAAATTCAGAAGTTAAACAAATTATACTCATCTGTCATTTTGTCATTTTTTTAGATTGTAAATGCCACTGTAATACAGCACAGCTTGATCATGAAGACCATGTGTCAGTACCACTGAATTAGATATAGGCCTAGGTAGTTTGCATACTGGAAACTTGGCCACACCTGCTGTATCCTCGTCATCCGTGGCAGCAGCAGGTTGGGGAGCAAGTGTAAACTTGCAGGAACACACCTGAGGGACAGATGGGTCTTAGTCGGAACAGAGGGAGAGGCTAGACGACGAAGACAAGCCAAGGGATAGGAGGACTCTGACGCAACCTATTTCGTTTTCTTACAATAGGAAATGTGAGCAGCTGAGTTCACCCTCAAGGCCATAGGGAGAAAGGAGAGGCCACACCAACATTTTAAAACTCATAAATACACCCTCCCAACCCACGTAGCATATGGTGCCCTCTATACCATGTGAGACCACCACCATGATGATATTCAAAGGTAAAGCATACGTGTTTGTCTGTTGTGGCTTCTCCCTCCAAAGGGCTGAAGACCCAACAACACTTTGAAGCTCAAACACATAGCTCATGTGGTGTCTCGTACCATATAAGGATCGGAGCATTTATCTGCGAGGAAGCAGAAGTGTTAGTGTGTATTGGTTTCCTTGATATGGCTGGTTTGGACACACACAGAGCATTGATCATCACCCTAGCGTGACTGCAGCCCAGATGAAGAGCCAGTGGCCTGAGGGGGCTTGGCAGAGCAGCAGAGTGGAAGCCAACCTCTGTCTGAGCAGAGTGGGGAGAGTAAACATTAACAAAGTAAACATTTATCAAAGTATAGGCATAAGGAAACGATTAGGCTGCATACTGTAAAACACATCAAGTATTTTCAAGCAAATGCTGGAGAGTAAAATAATTGAATTGTAACTGTTTATCGACCCTTGGTCTTTATCAAGACCATTAGGTCTCTTTTTTTTTTCTCTCCCTCTGATGAATATCTACTTGGATATCCCGTACCAGCTTCAATCCTCTGGGTGTGTATGTTCTAACCCTTCTCTCACGGAAATTGGGAAATAAACATGGTCAGAACAGAAGAACACAAAAGAGGAAGTGAATTGTAGCTGGCCGGAGAACAAAACTGAGACTAAATTCATTTGAGCGCAGCGGCCTTGCTGTCAGAGTTCAATGAGAGAGGAAACCTGAGGGGGGGTCATGGTATGAGAGAGAACTTTGATAAAGCCTCTTGCTCCAAACCGAGTGTATCCACACCGAAGACACTGGGGTGTTTCAGAAGTTCTGAAACCCATCGGTTGGCATGTTGGGTCAAGTTCATGGCTTCGTGCACATACTTACACTACCAGACTGGTACAAAACCATCTCTGAGAAGTACAGGAAGTAACCAGTGAACTACCACAGCTAGAGATGTGATCACTCTGAGTGTGTTTTGGTGCGATGGTGTGAGATGTAGGCCCACCACATCATTTGAATCAGATGTTGTCATTGGCAGAGGCTCTGGTTGCTAATGAAGCAGAAGTTTCTGTTTTTAATGCATTTTTATACTGAACAAAAATATAAACGCAACATGTAAGGTGTTGGTCCCATGTTTCATGAGTTGAAATAAAAGATCCCAGAAATGTTCCATACGCACAAATCTTATTTCTCTCATTTTGTGCACAAATTTCTTTACATCCCTGTTAGTGAGCATTTCTCCTTTGCCAAGATAATCCATCCACCTGACTGGTGTGGCATATCAAGAAGCTGATTAAACAGCGTGATCATTACACAGGTGGGGACACTAAAATGTGTAGTTTTGTCACACAACACAATGCCACAGATGTCTCAAGTTTTGAGGGAGTGTGCAATTGGCATGCTGACTGCAGGAATGTCCACCAGAGCAGTTGTCAGCGAAATTAATGTTCATTTCTCTACCATAAGCCACCTCCAATGTCGTTTTAGAGAATTTGGCAGTATGTCCAACCAGCCTCCCAACCGCAGACCACGTGTAACCACACCAGCCCAGGACCGCCACATCTGTCTTCTTCACCTGCGGGATGGTCTGAGACGAGCCACCCGCTGAAACTGTGGGTTTGCACAACCAAATAAATTCTGCACAAACTGTTTGAGAAGCTCATCTGCATGCTCGTCGTCCTCACCAGGGTCTTGACCAGACTGTAGTTAGGCGTCATTACCGACTTCAGTGGGCAAATGCTAACCTTCGATGGCCACTTGCATGCTGGAGAAGTGCTCTTCACGGATTTAATCCCGGTTGCAACTGTACCAGGCAGGTGGAAGACTTGTATGGAGTCGTGTTCACGAACGGTTTGCTGATGTCATGGGGCACTCTGTTCACAACGTTGGTGGGGTTATGGTATGGGCAGGCATAAGCTACGGACAACGAACACGTTTTATCGATGGCAATTTGAATGCACAGAGATACCGTGAAGAGATACTGAGGCCCATTGTCGTGCCATTCATCTGCCGCCATCACCTCATTTCAGCATGATAATGCATGGCCCCATGTCGCAAGGATCTGTACACAATTCCTGGAAGCTGAACATTTCCCAGTCACCCATTGAGCAAGTTTGGGATGCTCTGGATCAACGTGTACGACAGTGTGTTCCAGTTCCCGCCAATATCCATTCCATCAACTTCGCACAGCCATTGAAAAAGAGTGGGACAACATTCCACAGGCTACAATCAACAGCCTGATCCACTCTAAGTGAAGGAGATATCGTGCTGCATGATGCAAATGGTGGTCTCACCAGATACTTACTTCTGATCCACGCTCCTACTTTTTTAAGGTATCTATGACCAACAGATATTCATACAGTACTAGTCAAAAGTTTTGACACACCTACTCATTCAAGGGGTTTTCTTTATTTTTACTATTTTCTACATTGTAGAATAATAGTGAAGACCTCAACTATGAAATAACACATATGGAATCATGTAGTAACCAAAAAAGTCTTAAACAAATCCAAATATTTTATATTGGAGATTCTTCAAAGTAGCCAACCTTTGCCTTGATGACAGCTTTGCACACTCTTGGCATTCTCTCAACCAGCTTCATGAGGAATGCTTTTCCAACAGTCTTGGAGTTCCCACATGTGCTGAGCACTTGTTGGCTGCTTTTCCTTCAATCTGCCGTCCGACTCATCCCAAACCATCTCAATTGGGTTGAGGTCGGGGGATTGTGGAGGCCAGGTCATCTGATGCAGCACTCCATCACTCTCCTTCTTGGTAAAATAGCCCTTACACAACCTGGAGGTGTGTTGGGTCTGGGTCATTGTCCTGTTGAAATACAAATGATAGTCCCACTAAGGCCAAACCAAATGGGATGGCGTATCGCTGCAGAATGCTGTGGTAGCCATGCTGGTTAAGTGTGCCTTGAATTTTAAATAAATCACAGACAGTGTCACCAGCAAAGCACCATAACACCACCTCCTACATGCTTTACGGTGGGAACTACACATGCAGAGATCATCCGTTGACCCACACCGCGTCTCACACAGACACGGCGGTTGGAACCAAAAATCTCCAATTTGGACTCCAGACCAAAGGACACATTTCCACTGGTCTAATGTCCATTGCTCGTGTTTCTTGGCCCAAGCGGGTCTCTTCTTCTTATTGGTGTCCTTTAGTAGTGGTTTCTTTGCAGGAATTCAACCATGAAGGCCTGATTCACACAGTCCCCTCTGAACAGTTGATGTGTCTGACTTGACCAGTTCCTCTTACTGTAAGTCGAAGCCTATCCCTGGGAACTCTCCGCCTTCACTCAACAAAGGCAAAACCGCTCTGGCATTTGATCTCATGGGCAAGAGATTAGGAGTAAAAGCACCCAGAAAGCCCCAGGAAATATTCATTTATTGCTATCTCTAGTAGGCTACATCACTTGCAGCCAAGGAGACCAAACAGAGTGAATAATGGGATGAATGTTTCTCTTTCTCCACCTTGCTCTTTCTCCATCTTGGTTTTTGCTATTAGCCTACTCCCCCTGTGTTTCCCTCTCGCCAGCTTTTGATCTTCCTGGAAACGCCACTGCTGCTCCCAGAGAGTTGTGTTGACGTTATTAAATTGAGGTCAGGCTGACTTACTTCTTGGGAAGGGCGAGTTGCTTGCGCTGTAGCTTTTCAGCTGAAGTTTGGTTGAGAATAAGGGCTCTTCCTTTAATGAGCTCTTTTGACCTAGAAACGCTGACTCATACAGTCATACCTTTTCATTAGTCGATTCATCAACTGTAATGATGGGCTCAACAATAATGTTCTCAGTCAGCAAACTTGCTTCTTCGGAGGCCAACTCTAGAGCTTACTCTTGTTGAAATGGAGAGAAATTGGCCATCAGGGCTTTACTGAAGAATGTTAAGACTTTGGTGGTGGATAATGATTGTCCGCCAATGCCATTACCCACTCTCTCCCATTACCTTGGTCAGCTAGACCAGGGGTCGACCAATGCCTAGAAAACCCCTTCAGAAGGGGATATGCAGGTGGTGGAGGGGGACATGCTTTGGCATGTTTAAAGAAGGGAGACCTTATAGCTGGTCAGAGTCCATTAAGTCTGTGAAATCCCATGGTAGCTGGTTGTTAAACACCTTTGTTTGTTCTGTGTCCACCTGACTCACTCCCTCTGTCAACCTCAATCAGCTCAAAGTCTATGGCTGTGGATCCGAGCACTCTGCTGTTCTTTATAACCAGCAGTGCCTTTGGGCGGGTGGCAGTCCTCCATTTTTAGATAAGGGCTCTACGCTGACCTTAGGAGCACATGCGCCTAATTTGGAAAAAATGTAGGTGCAAACAAAGAAATGTATGAGCACAACAAAAAATATTTTAAGTATTAAAGCTATAATCATACATTTTTCTAGGCGAACTGGTGCTCCTAAAAGTCCAGGTCGCACAGCAAAATATTTAGGCACATTTGAGAGTAGAATGGTGGCACTATAGTATTGCACGGTATACCGAAACTTCGGTACTTTTTAAATACTAGAACATGAAAAATGGTTCAGTAGTTCAAAAAAAAAAAAACACTGGGTACTTCTGTCAGATCAACTCTATCAGTGTAGCCGATGTCCCCCTTTTTAGCACGAAAGCACCGTGCCTGCTCCACTTAGCCTGCACTGGGAGTCTGGGCTGCATCATGTTAGCTCCCCACTCATGCTGCACCGACGTTAACACACTTGAATAATGTGACACGCCATGTAGAAATGTTGAAACTGTTCATTACTGTTTACAAAAAGTTACCGGTAGCTTCCAGCTTTGTAGGTTAACTTTTGTTGCTAGCTTACAGCTTAAGCTGTCTTCAATTCACTAACCTTGATACTTTGTTTGTGATACCTTAACGCAAAATATGCTGATTTCATAGATTGCCACCAAAACTTTATTCATTTACTTAATAGGTCTCTTTCATGTCGCTCCCAAAGATTACCTATTGCCTCAGCGAAATGACTGGGCGGCCCAGTCATGGCTAGTATATTTTATTTTATTTTATTTTTTGCATTTAAGCTAACCCTTTTCTTAACTTTAACCTAATTCTCCTAACCTGCTATGTTAATTCTCCTAACCTGCTACGAAAAGGCAAATCTGATGTTATTTTGTCAAAAGCTGGATCCCTTCTAGCCATGACCGGGCGGTCCTCTTGCCTCATGAATGACGTCATTACTGGTTAGACGGCGCACACTTTGATCAAATAAGCTACTTCTACCTATTTGTAAGTCGCTCTGGATAAGAGCGTCTGCTAAATGACGTAAATGTAAAAAAAATGTAAATGTTCTATGCAAATGTTGTTGATCAGTACATAAGATAAGTCCCAAATGGAAGGGAAACAGATTGTCATCTGTAGCCAAGTAAAATCTGGCAATACAAGATCAAGAACTCAATGCATGCACACATTCCTATTGAATATGCATTCACCTGTATTGTAAATAGGCCTAGGCTACATCTTGATTTACCCAGTTTATCAATAGAGATTTACCATTCAAAGAAATGATTACCATTATGTTATGTAGTTAGATTGGTAAAAACTAAGTCAAATTGATTGTATAATTGATTCATTAATGCATACATGGCTGTCTGAAAAATGTTGACGTAAAACATTTCTAATGTAGTGATATTTACATTTTAGTCATTTAGCAGATGCTCTTATCCAGAGCAACTTACATTAGCAATTAGGGTTAAGTGCCTTGCTCAAGGGCACATCGACAGATTTTTCACCTAGTCGGCTCGGGGATTAGAACCAGTGACCTTTCGATTACTGGCACAACGCTCTTAACCACTAAGCTACCTGCCGCCCTCAAAAGATGCCCAACTATTGAACAGAGCAATAGCTGAGTTTATCTGTCTGGATTAAGTGCCATTCTGTGACTTTGGTTAATATGCCTTCTTTTTTGTAGTGGTATCGTTTTGATATTGTTTTAGTATCGAGAATCGTGATACTAACCCTGGTAAAAAAAATCTGGTATCGTGACAACACCTCACTGTAGAGCCCTTTTTAGATATTTTACCCTTCTCAAATTCCCTAACAATCAAAGGAATGAACTTGAGACTGAATGTATTAATTCAGAAGGATCATAAGACCAGCTTTATTACACCAAGGTCCAAGGATCAAGCAGGCTATGACATTACAAATTGACTAATCAATGACATCATTCACATCAAGGTATTGGGAATATAAATGGTCTACTCCCTACCCTCTGTTTTTCTGTATGTTCTCCTTCTACTCTCTCTACCTCTTTCTCTCTCTCCCTCATGTTGCTTATTTGTTTCTCTGATTTGCATCATGATGACTCACCCTGTTCTGTGCCTCTGGGGAGGATTCTGGAGCCCTCTTCATCCCTTACTCAAACACAGCCTTTGTTTGGACTCATCCCCCCCCCCCCCCCCCCTCCTCTCCCAATGTGCTGCACCCTCTATCAACATTGAGCCCCACCTCTTTGTTTTGAACCAGGAGTGTTGCCAAAACTCTCATAACTAGTTTGGGTGCCTGTGCCCATCACTCCTACACTGCCTGGAAGCAAGCAAGTGAGGGTGAGGGGGACAAGGAAAGTGAGAGAAATGCATGGTGAATGGCGCGAAAGGGCAGGGAAAGGAGAGTGTAGAGATGATGAGAAGTAAAGAGATGAGGATTGAATGACTTGGAAACATCTGTGGTGAACTGTGCTCTTGACATGAAGAATTAAAATCTGTTCTTTGTCACATTTCAAAAACAATAAATAGTTCCTGTGTCTCACATCCTCCCTCTTCTCTCCGTGTTTCTCCAGGATCCGGAGGTGGCTCTGCCGGTGCGTCAGCAGTCCAAGGCCTGGTGCTGGTGCATGTGCCTGGGCCTGGCCCTCATGCTGTCTGGCGTGGTGGTGGGAGGGGCCTACCTGTACAGGTACTACATCCTGGAGGTGAGACTGGACTACTCAGACCCCAGCGTCTATCTATGGCTTACTAAATGCACTATAGCTGGCTTGATTCTAATGTAATTTACACTTTTTTTTTGAATAACTTATTGTATTTGAATACAACATAATTCAAATTTGTATTTGACAAAAGAGACATGATGCTAGAAGGGTAAATAAGTGTAAATATAAACGTTTTGCTGTGTTTCCTCCCTTCTAACAGGAGGGCCAGGTGTTTGTGTGCGGGGTGAAGTACCGTGAGGAAGACATGATGATCCTGGAGGAGGAGGACGTGGAGGTGGACCTGCCCTCCAGATTCAAGATGATCCAGGAGAACATCCGCGTACTGGAGGACCAGGAGGTGGCTCTCATCAACGTACCCGTGCCGGAGTTCGACGACAGCGACCCTGCCGACATCGTCCACGACTTCCAAAGGGTAAGAGTCCGTATTCCTGAATTAGACCACTGCGCCACTCGGGAGTCAATCCAGACCATGGATTGTCTGTGTTTAGTGGAGTTCCATGAGGTTGTTCTCTGACTGAGTTTGTTCTGTTGGCTCCTCTCCACAGAGACTGACTGCCTACCTGGACCTGTTCCTGAACAAATGCTACGTCATCCCCCTCAACACCTCCATTGTCATGCCTCCCAAGGACTTCCTGGAGCTGTTGGTCAACATCAAGGTAACAGGAACTGCTTTATGAATTATGTTACAATAATGATGGTAATACATTCGATTTCTTACGCACTTGTCTGGACACCCAATGTAATCTTATACTATTTTTATAATGATGTAAGACCATCTCGGTGATAACAAATGTTTTGAAATTAACCACCCAGTAGCACTAGGTCATGATACTAATGATATGTTATTCAATGTTGTACCCCCAGGCTGGTACCTACCTTCCCCAGTCCTACTTGATCCATGAGGAGATGGTGGTGACTGAGCGCCTGGAGGACGTGGAACAACTGGGATACTTCATTAACAACCTCTGCCAGGGCAAGGACACCTACAAGCTGGAGCGCAGAGACAGGATCCTGGGTCAGTACACACAGACCTGTTTAAATACACACACATGCGCATATACAACACGCATGTATATACATCACACCTCACACACGCACACTACATAGTTGTTTGGACAAGTTAAGAATCATGCGAACATGCCCAAAGGTAAAGGGCTTCTCCTACATTCAGCCTTCTTTGCATGAGATATCGACTGACTGCTCTAAGCACACAGTTAGACCTCACATACCTTATACACCTCTCACACAAAGATATGCATGTATTCGCGCGCACACACACGTCTTATAAAACTACCACATGGGCATTGCGACATATCTGATTCATACCTTTCCAAAATGATGTTTTCCCAAGTCTTGTAGGAGCCTGTATGAACAACCAACCACCATTGTGGCAGCTCATAATGGTTTTTATCAGGTGTAGATCAGCATTTAACCTCTCCATCCCCCACATTACAGGTATGCAGAAGAGAGAAGCTCTCAACTGCCACAAGATCCGTCACTTTGAGAACAAGTTTGTGGTGGAGACCTTGATCTGTGAGCCCTAGTGACGTCGTTGTGGCCGTGGGAAAAGTGGCACATTGTCTCTATACAACCTCGCTTCATTTTACTGGGAGCGCAGTTGGAGATTTGTAATTGTAGATTTCTCTGTTTTAAATGTTTCCATTTGTTATTTTACTTCAAGTAGTTTTGTGTGCAAGAGAATTGTAATGTGAAAAGGGGCAATTCGTCTCTACTTAAAACATGTAAAAAAGGGTAACAGTCAGTAGCGTGTATTTGTTTTTATTATGCACGGACACAATTCAACAAAAGACAGTAGGGTTCTATTTTAGGAAGGATCTTTTCGAGGGCGGGACTGCTAGCTTGTCAGAAATGTAAACCTCACTAATGATTTGAGATCTATGTTTAGTTTACTGGGATCAAAAACAGGGATTAAGGGTTGAATTGACGCAGAACATGTATGGTATAGACTTAATTAAACAATCATCTAATTGTATTTTTTAATACAGAAATGAAAATGTGCAAAGGCATGGCAAATGGATACTTTTGTACCACTGAACCTGGTTTTAGAAGGGACTATTCCAGGGAGTTTTCTAGATTTTATATTTTAATTGTCTGCTGTAACTATTAATATACTGCAAATATGATTTCTTAACTGTAAAACATCTTAAGATAAGAGTGTGGATAAATGTTTCTTTCATCTAGCTTTAAGAAAACATAAATCAAGACAATTGTCTAAAGAATTAAAATCAGAAGGTTATTCATTCTTATACAACAGTAACACTTTTATTTCACCTGTTTTTTTGTTTTCTTTCTTTCTTTCTCCAAATGTACCAGTTTTTGATTATTTTTTTTTTATCACTCGTACTAATTTGTATATAACCTCTAAAGATTATGACCAACACCACAATAAATCTTAAACCAGTAATACGGATATTCTAGTTTGGCCAGTGTGTTCCTTAATGCCACATTTTACTCTGACAGACCACACAGAGATGCTGGTCATAAAGTAGATTGCAACCCCACCCCCTTTGGCAGGATTTTTATTTATTTATTTCACCTTTATTTAACCAGGTAAGCCAGTTGAGAACACGTTCTCATTTACAACTGCGACCTGGCCAAGATAAAGCAAAGTAGTGCGATAAAAACAACAGAGTTACATATGGGGTAAACAAAACAAAGTCAAAAATACAACAGAAAATATATATACAGTGTGTGCGAATGTAGTAAGTTATGGAGGTAAGGCAATAAATAGGCCATAGTGCAAAATAGTTACAATTTCGTATTAACACTGGAATGATAGATGTGCAAATAGAGATACTGGGGTGCAAATTAGCTAAATAAATAACAATATGGGGATGAGGTAGTTGGGTGGGCTAATTTCAGAATGGCTGTGTACAGGTGCAGTGATCGATAAGCTGCTCTGACAACTGACACTTAAAGTTAGTGAGGGAGATAAGAGTCTCCAGCTTCAGAGATTTTTGCAGTTCGTTCCCGTCATTGGCAGCAGAGAACTGGAAGGAATGGCGGCCAAAGGAGGTGTTGGCTTTGGGGATGACCAGTGAGATATACCTGCTGGAACGCATACTACGGGTGGGTGTTGCTATGGTGACCAGTGAGCTAAGATAAGACTGGGATTTGCCTAGCAGTGATTTATAGATGACCTGGAGCCAGTGGGTTTGGCGACGAATATGTAGTGAGGACCAGCCAACAAGAGCGTACAGGTCACAGTGGTGGGTAGTATATGGGGCTTTGGTAACAAAACGGATGGCACTGTGATAGACTACATCCAATTTGCTGAGTAGAGTGTTGGAGGCTATTTTGTAAATGACATTGCCGAAGTCAAGGATCGGTAGGATAGTGAGTTTTACGAGGGCATGTTTGGCAGCATGAGTGAAGGAGGCTTTGTTGCGAAATAAGAAGCCGTTTCTAGATCTAACTTTTGATTGGAGATGCTTAATGTGAGTCTGGAAGGAGAGTTTAGTCTAACCAGACACCTAGGTATTTGTAGTTGTCCGCATACTCTAGGTCAGACCCGCCGAGAGTAGTGATTCTAGTCGGGTGGGCGGGTGCAAGCAGCGTTCGGTTGAAGAGCATGCATTTAGCTTTACTAGTGTTTAAGAGCAGTTGGAGGATACGGAAGGAGTGTTGTATGGCATTGAAGCTCGTTTGGAGGTTTGTTAACACAGTGTCCAATGAAGGGCCAGATGTATACAAAATGGTGTCGTCCGCATAGAGGTGGATCCGAGCGTCACCAGCAGCAAGAGCGACATCATTGATATACACAGAGAATAGAGTCAGCCCGAGAATTGAACCCTGTGGCACCCCCATAGAGACTGCCAGAGGTCCAGACAACAGGCCCTCCAATTTGACACATTGAACTCTATCTGAGAAGTAGTTGGTGAACCAGGCGAGGCAGTCATTAGAGAAACCAAGGCTATTTAGTCTGCCAAAAAGAATGCAGTGATTGACGGAGTCGAAAGCCTTGGCCAGGTCGATGAAGACTGCTGCGCAGTACTGTCTTTTATCGATCGCGGTTATAATATCGTTTAGGACCTTGAGCCTGGCTGAGGTGCACCCATGACCAGCTCGGAAACCGGATTGCATAGCGGAGAAGGTACGGTGGGATTCGAAATGGCTGGTGATCTGTTTGTTAACTTGGCTTTCAAAAACTTTTGAAAGGCAGGGCAGGATGGATATAGGTCTGTAACAGTTTGGATCTAGAGTGTCACCCCCTTTGAAGAGGGGGATTACCGCGGCAGCTTTCCAATCTCTGGGGATCTCAGAAGTTACGAAAAAGTGGTTGAACAGGCTAGTAATAGGGGTTGCGACAATTTCGGCGGCTAATTTTAGAAAGAAAGGGTCCAGATTGTCTAGCCCAGCTGATTTGTAGGGGTCCAGATTTTTCAGCACTTTCAGAACATCAGCTGTCTGAATTTGTGTGAAGGAGAAGCGGGGGGGGGGGGGCATGGGCAAGTTGCAGCGGAGGGTGCAGAGCTGGTGGCCGGGGTAGTGGTAGCCAGGTGGAAAGCATGGCCAGCCGTAGGAAAATGCTTGTTGAAATTCTCGATTATTGTAGATTTATCAGTGGTGACAGTGTTTCCTAGCCTCAGTGCAGTGGGCAGTTGGGAGGAGGTGCTCTTATTTTCCATGGACTTTACAGTGTCCCAAAACTTTTTGGAGTTAGTGCTACAGGATGCAAATTTCTGTTTGAAAAAGCTAGCCTTTGTTTTCCTAACTGATTGTGTATATTGGTTCCTGACTTCCCTGAAAAGTTGCATATCACGGGGGCTGTTCGATGCTAATGCAGTACGCCACAGGATGTTTTTGTGCTGGTCAAGTCTGAGGAGAACCAGGGGCTATATCTGTTCTTAGCTCTGAATTTTTGAATGGGGCATGCTTATTTAAGATTGAGAGGAAAGCACTTTTAAAGAACAACCAGGCATCCTCTACTGACGGAATGAGGTCAATATCCACCCAGGATACCCAGGCCAGGTCAATTAGAAAGGCCTGCTCGCTAAAGTGTTTTAGGGAGCGTTTGACAGTGATGAGGGGTGGTCGTTTGACCGCGGACCCATTACGGATGCAGGCAATAAGGCCATGATCGCTGAGATCCTGGTTGAAGACAGCGGAGGTGTATTTAGAGGGTAAATTTGTCAGGATGATATCTATGAGGGTGCCCATGTTTACAGATTTAGGGTTGTACCTGGCAGGTTCGTTGATAATTTGTGTGAGATTGAGGGCACCTAGTTTAGATTGTAGGTTGGCCGGGGTGTTAAGCATATCCCAGTTTATGTCACCAAGCAGTACGAACTCTGAGGATAGATGGGGGGCAATCAGTTCACATATAGTGTCCAGGGCACAGCTCGGGGCTGAGGGGGGTCTGTAGCAAGCGGCAACAGTGAGAGACTTATTTCTGGAAAGGTGGATTTTTAGAACTAGAAGCTCAAACTGTTTGGGCACAGACCTGGATAGTACGATAGAGCTCTGCAGGCTATCTCTACAGTAGATTGCAACCCCACCCCCTTTGGCAGTTCTATCGAGACGGAAAATGTTGTAGTTGGGGATGGACATTTCTGAATTTTTGGTGGCCTTCCTAAGCCAGAATTCAGACACTGCTAGAACATCAGGGTTGGCGGAGTGTGCTAACGCAGTGAATAACTCAAACTTAGGGAGGAGGCTTCGGATGTTAACGTGCAAGAAACCAAGGCTTTTACGGTTACAGAAGTCAACAAATGATAACGCCTGGGGAGTAGGAGTGATACTGGGGGCTACAGGGCCTGGGTTAACCTCTACATCACCAGAGGAGGAGTAGAATAGGGATATGGCTAAAGGCTTTAAGTACTGGTCTTCTAGTGCGTTGGGTACAGAGAAAACAAGGGGCCGATTTCCGGGCGTTGTAGAATAGATTCAGGGCATTATGTACAGACAAGGATATGGAAGGATATGAGTACAGTGGAGGTAAACCTAAGCGTTGGGTAACGATGAAAGAGATAGCATCACTGGAGGCACCGATTGAGTCGGTCTCCGCGTGTATGGGTGGGACAAAGGAGCTATCTAAGACAGGTTGAGCTGGGCTGGGGGATCTACAGTGAAATAGTACAATAAGAAATAACCGAAACAGCAATAAGCAAGGCATATTGACATGGGAGAGAGGCATAAAGCAATCACAGGTGTTATTCGAGAGAGCTAAGACAACAGCTGGTAATGGCGACAAAGTTTGGGCTGAGGCTAAACATAAACAGGATGCAGTACCGTATAAAGGAACAGTACAGCAGGCATCAGCTGTATAGCTGAGTTATCATAAGGTCCGGTGAACAGCAATAGGAGAGTTCGGAGGTAGTTTGGGGGCTGCTATAGCACTGGTGAGCAAGAGGCCATGGCTTGCGTGTGCTAGCGGGCCGGGGCTATCAGATGGATCTTCGTGGTCGACGTCGTAACGGGAAGCCTGTTGAAACCACATCAGACGATTTCGTCGGCAGACCAGTCGTGTTGGATCGGCGGGGCTCCGTGTCAACACTAGGAGGTCCCGTCCGGTTGACAGAGA